CCTTTGGATGAAGTAGAAAACGAAACACATTTTCTTTTTTACTGTCCCTTTTATGACGATCTTCGAGAAAATATGTTTCGTAAAATTTATACAAAATCACCTGACATCATATGGGAAAGAGATGAAAATAGAATTAAGTGGCTCTTTAACGAGGGTGTATCTGACCTAGCAACTTTCATTTATCGAGCGTGGGGGAAAAGAAGAAAATACCTGTATTCATAACACATCAACAGTTCTCACCTTTTGTTACTTCTACACATTTGTTTTCTCTTATTTATATTTGATTTACCTTATGTACTTGTATTTATTTTGTGAAATCTTGGTTCTTTATCAAGTTTATGTACAGATTTGTTTATTTGCATTTATGATCTGTTATGAGTTCACTCTGTTCTGCTTAATTGTATATAGCCTAACTTTATTTGTGTTCACATTTTGTTTGGATTCTGTACCTCTGTTTCTCTGTTGTTTATGTATTATTTATTTTCAAACGGTGTCGTATAAGCCCACACGGGCTGGGCGTGGTATGCGCACGACACGAAAATAAAGTTTCATTCATTCATTCATTCATTCATTCATTCATTCACTTCCACCACCTTAACCTACATAATGTCAACCCGCAGGATAGAGGCAAGTGTCGATCTGCCATCAAGCCTTAGCATTAGTGTGCAATCATGTCTAACCCTCAGAAGATGGGGAACATCAAATGCTAAACTCAGGATAGTGAGTGAGTGAGATTGTGGGTCATTCTAACAGTGACCATCATGAACCTATCTTGTCATCCTAAATGCTTAAATCCCTTACTGTGGTAATTACAAAATACTGTAGTCAAGCCATCTAAGAAGGACTTATTACCTCTGCCTTCCTGTGATCCAGGACATCATATGTCTTGCTGGTGGCAGACCTGACAATAGTCTGGAACCGCAGCCCGATGTTGTCGATGCCTTCAATCTTGACATCAGACAACCCTGACAGCCGCTCCATGGTGGAGATCATGTCACCAACACGCTCCAGACGTTTGCAGAAGGTGTCAAACTTCCCAAAGATGTAGTTCTCACTGCAGGGAGTCAATACATTGCTTTAACTCTATGAGTAAAGATAAAGGTAGTTCCGAAAGCCTTTGCAAGGACACAGGGGCAATTGGTTGTTATCCACTGTGTCCAAAGCACAGTATTGGAAGTCAGAGCCCATCCCTCTCCTTACACTGCCTTTTACCTCCTCATCCAACATCAGGTACTCATGTTACACCTTGGTGGGGTGAGGAAAGTCATGTAAAATTCCTTCTCAATTACACAAGGTCTAGCCAGGAATGCAAGGAATCAAACCCTGACCTCACTTACTGAGAATTCTAAACTTTGTAAGTTGCCATTGCGGCATTTTTGCATAAGAAAGAAGTCTTTGTTTACCTGAACTCGAACTGCCTCTCCTCTGGGCTCTCCCTCAGTTTTTCCTTAGTCTTGTGGAAGGCTCGCTGGTACTCCGAGTTCAGCCTGATGGAGTCCTGAATACGCTTCAGCACCTCCATCCTGATTTGCAAACAGAGAAAACATTTCCATAAGCTGTCAGACTTCTAGGAATTTTTTTACCTGTAAGTTGACCCTATTGTGTTACTTGTTGACCTGTTGTTATTCTGCCTGTCAATCTTCCCCACCCTCAAGATCACCCCATTACCAGTGTCTGACCAAATAAACTTATATCATTCATGGCTGTCAATCTTCCCACTACCCATGTGCTGTCCACCTACTGTGTCTGGACAAGCAGACACACAAACCCATATCTCAATCACCCAAAAGAAAAACTTCCATACGCTGAAGTAAAAAATCTAATTTGTAAGTGCTGATTATACTAACCATACATTAAAATATGCCCATTGCACTTCTGCCTTAAATTCTAATGCCCCTTTATAAAGATATTATGTTCCTGTCCCTTATTATTGCATGTACATGTGCACAATCTGCTAATATATATATATATATATATACATGTACTAATAACTTTAGACCCAGTAATGGGGATAAGCAGTAAGAAAGAAGAGCCACCTTTCATGTTCCCAGATCCTGGTTGTTCCCTGGTTGATGTAGGCCTTGCAGGTGGTGATCATCTGGTTGGTGACCTTGACAAAGAGAGAGGTCATGCGTTCGGAGGTGTTGTAGTACTGAGAGATGGAGTGGATCATCCGGATGCTGTTCATCAGGCTAGGGATGTGCTCAACCATGGAGGCCTGGGAGGGAGGCAGATTTCAACAGTACTTAGACAAAATATTTGACATTTGTAGTTTTTGTTTTACATGTTTTGTATGTTCTGCTACAAAAACATGCACTGCCAGTCAAACTTGCCCAAGAAGACCCGGTGACTCAGGGGACCAAGAAAAGCTGGTCTCTCAGGACAGGCGGTCAATATAGACAGAATTTTTAATGCTTGTATCAATGGAAAAAGTATCTAAGGGACCACCAGAAGTGGTCACATTAGCCATGTGGTGCATTAAGCAGTTCCAATCGTTGTAAGCAATCTCAAACTTGAAGATAATGTCAAAACTCACTGCCAACAAAGGTTCTTTTAAGGTACTCTTCTTAGGTCTCCTTACTACAGATGCCCATGTTTGCAAAGTTCTGAATTGTTTTCAAAAGCAAACCTTTGATGGTTTGATGCTTTGTTCAATGACATGATCCAAAATTCTTGATAGGTTTTTCAAACTGACTTACCGGTGTACACTTGACCAGTGGTCCAAAGAACTTGTCCAGTGTGTACAGGTACTTCACGTTGTCTTTTGCCTCGTTGGCGGCGTCTGTGATGCGGACGTCCAGCTCCTTCCACCGCTTCAGGGCCTTGGACTTGGCGGCATTCAGCACACCAATCACAGCTCGGCACCGGGGGGACTTGATCTGTTCCAACAGGCTGAGTGGTAAGATAATAAACAGCTGCATTAGTTTAATTTTGTTTAATTGACAGTTTGAATGATTTAAGTGATGACATTTAACCTTATTACTTGTTTGAGACTTGATCCGTTCAAACAGGTCAGAATATTTAGTTTCATTTTGTGCAATTGACAGCTCTTTGAATGTTGACAATTAACCTAATTCCTTGTTTTCTTCCAACTATCTTGAACTATCTTATAACTGTCCTTAAAATTTGGCATGAAGATTTTTAAAAACTTAACAAGTATTTAGTTTTAACAGTTAATACTACATTCATCTGATAATGAAATCATTTGCATCAAACTGCACCTGTTGAACTTGGCCATCCGTTTCTTCCAGTGGTCCAACTCGGCGGAGGGCCCGATGTCGTCAGCCTCGCGTCGCATCTGCTCGGACTCGGCCAGAACCTGCTCGATCTGCCGCGCCCATAGGGCCAGGAGGGCCTCCATTTTCTCCACTTTCTCCACGGAGGTGGCTGGACAAAATTTAAGGAGCTTATTTAAGTATGAATTACGACGCAATTTCTTAAAATTTTGCAACGGCAACATTTTTTTCTGCCGCTCCCACAAGACCAGTATAGCTTCTATCTTCTCCACCTTCTCCACGAATGCGGATTTGTTTGCCCCGGCCCCCCCGGAACCTCAATTTCCCATCCAAGCCAGCCTAGCGGGGACCAATAGGCGGGCAGCATTTCGGCCAGACCCACAACCCGCGCTTTAGCAAGATATGGTTGAAAAAGATGTTTCTCAAACTTGTTCAAAAGATACATTTGTAAATTGTTTTCTGAAATTCTGTGTCTTTGAATAGTTGGAGCAAAATAACTACCGAGCCGAGTTAAACCATTTCGGCACTGGGCTTCTGGTGCTTACGTCGGCCGCGCGGCGTACAAAACAGTATCTTAGGCGAAGTCTTTGTGAAAATGTAAGAAAAGAGGCCTTGCAGTCCTGTCCTGCCGATAACCTTGTTGTCTCGATTAAACTTTGTTACCCAGGCGGTATGATCTCGAAAATATTCTTACATTGTTTATCTGACATTTCCAACTCCGATTACCTGCCGCGCCGTATGGAAGGATGCTGTTCAACCCCATTGTCAAATGGAATCGACCGCAAAGTGGGCGTGGCGCGGAATGCTGGTCACCCATTGGTCGCCGCTAGGCTATGTGGATGTGAAATTGATGTAGGCCCCCCCCCTCCAGCCACACACTTTCCTCTCACCCCATTCCATGTTAGACCCGACCAGGGACCGTTACAGTGCGCCAGGCTTTTTCAACACACAAAGGCAAGGCACTTTACAGCTTCACAACAGCGTAGCTGCCCACCTACCGGCTTGCATGAAGTCGGCCGGCGTGCGGAGGGCGTCCAACCCCGTGTCGTCCGGCGGCTCGGCGATCACAACCTGCCCCTCCATGTTCCCCTGCGCCCTCCCCGCCCCCATTCCGCCTTACACCCGACCAAGCACTGTTACAGTGCGCTAGAGTCTTTATACACACAAGGGTATGGCCCTACCCTCTTACCAGTGTTTAATAACTACCCGCTTACCAGCTTGCATGAAGTCAGCGGGCGTGCGGAGCGCGTCCAACCCGGTATCATCCGGCGGCTCAGCCAGCACGACCTGGCCCTCCATGTTCCCCTGCGCGCTGGCCAGGCTGGACACGAACTTTTCCAGCGACTCCAGGAAGTCCTGAACCGGCGCGTTGGCGCTGGACTTGCCGAGCTCGCCCCAGTTCTGTGGGGAGACGGCGCGTGAGTAAGCAAGAACTTTCAGCACCAATCAACAGATTTCAGTACCAAGGACAGGAACAACCACTACGTACATGTGACATCTTGGTTAGTCGTATCGGCAGAACGCACTGTGCCTGCACAAAACCCGTAATGTATTGCACAAAGCAAGAGTAGAACGTCTCGTTTAAGGTCATATTCGCGTATTTAGATTAAGGATTCCAGTCCATAGTTTTCAAATGCTGTGTCAAAAAAGATACCGTCTGCACTGGGCAAAATTCTGATGCAACGTTGACCAAAATATCCAACAAAAAACGAGAAAAATCCGGGTTTCACGCAGATACAGTACCGTTATACCCACGTGTTTGTGTGGGAAAACAAGTTGCGTTTCCGATTTCAGTAGGCTTCGGCTGTCTATTTATTCTATCAAAAACAATGTAAAACTGAACGATTGGTTCATCCAATTTGCAAAGTAAAAATTTTCATCTGAAGTATACAGTTTTACATACTTAAAACCGTACACACGCGCGCGTATTGGCAACATACGCTCACCTCTGTGGACTTGAGTGCAGGTAGCATGATGGACGACATGAGCTTCTGTAGTCCCTGTAGCATGGTGCCGTCACCGGCCTCAACCGAGCCGAAATTCACCTCCTGTAAGTATGTAAACACGTAAGAACAGAAATGAAAACAGTATATCCTTTTGCTACAAATGCTACTGTCTTCTAGTCTTTAAGTCAATAAGTCAATAATTTGTCTTCAAGAACTTCATTCTCTACGAAAAAAAGAACTGTTTCTCTAACACGTCTGTCGCTTATATGTCAGTATGATACAATTGCAATTAGTTCTAAGATGTGAACAATACTACAGATTTGCTGTACGTAGCTAGGAACACTGACCTTTGAGATGTTCTCCACTGTAATGCCCTTGGGGGTTGTGCGTAGGAAGAACAGACACTGGCCAAGCAGAGGCTGAAATGCGGGTTTTGTGGTCAGTTATCGTACCTGTACTAACATGTTTGACGATCAAGACCCATAATGGACTGACTATTGCTTCTGTTTAGAAAATGCATTTGCACATCTACATTATTTGCATTGCAGCACAAGTTCGCGTTCATATAAAACTCATCATAAAATATCAACAAGTTATGCATATAAGAAGACGGGGAACTACGTTCTTACCTCGTCCTGGCCAGTGGTGAGAAACAGGCGTTTGGGACCGCCCATGCTCTGTGATGTTTCTGCTCGCGAGGACGTCATTTCTCGGTTCTGCGTGCACAAGAAATTCAGACGTCAAGAACTGAAGACTATGAGTGTAAAAGCTCCTTTGTTTTCCTTTAGTTTCCCGTGCCAAATGAGCTTAAATTATTTTTAAGTCCTGTACAGTAGTTACTTACCAAGCTGGCGTCCTGGTAGAAGAACATGAGTTTCTTCGCTCCGTCCGCGCCGAAAAACTCCTCAATTAGATCAAACTGTAAGCACACAAACATGCAAATCCTGATGAGTCACACTAATATGATGAGTACTGAGCAAAATCGCAGTATGTACAAGTTTGTTTTGATATCCAAAGAGTCTTATTACTTTAAAACTATGATCGTATAACCATGAAATATACATGTACTGTAAAATGCGATCGACCATCATGCATCGATGTTTGTGAGATGTAAGTTATTTGTTGTCAACGAATGTTGAATAATGATAGACAGTGGGAGACTCTGTACCTTCTCATCTCCCAAGATGCCATCCTCCACCGCTGTCAGGTCCAGGGACAGAGCGTCCGCAAGCTAAAGGGTAAAAAAAGAAAGAAAAAAGAGATACTTGAATTCTATTTTATTTCAGAGTCAGTGCGTGGTATAGTGGAATAGACACGTACGGGAGCCTCGAAGTCTAAGTAAACTACAACAACTGTCCGTCTTAAAAATAGTATAACCTAGATTTTGTAACACCATTCGGCAAGAACTTTCTTCCGGTAATTTGTATTTACTCTAACGTTACCGATTTCTTAAATTTCTTTACGATGACTTTGTTCCCTTATTGTGCACGTTTGTTCACTTGACATATATTATATGTGGAATGTGGAATGTTATGGATTTAATTTCTATCCATAGAATGGTGTGGACGTGCAAATCGCATCCGTATCACGTATTTACAGTCTAAGTGAGACACATTAAAACGCCGTGTTGGTCAAATCTACAGGAAATGAGACACTTTGCTTACAGTTTAATAAAGAGAGATGGCCTTACGCGCTTCAGAATTACAGAATAAATGAAATTATAAAATCTGGATCAGCCGTTCTAAATCTTTACAGCACCAGCCCTCACAATCCACCGCTGCAGCTGAGTCAACGAAGAACAGTTACCTCAGGTCTTACATCTCGTTAAATTTTCTCAAGATTTAATAAAGAAACACGCCTCAGAATTACAGAATAAATGAAATTATAAAATGTAGATTTAGCCATTCTAAATCTTTACAGCCCCAGCCCTCACAATCCACCACTGCAGCTGAGTCAACTCCGTACAGTTACCCCAGATCTTACATCTCGTTAGCGGAAGCTTCAGTTTTAACAAGCTTAGCTCCAGGTCGTTACAGCGTGCGTTAAGGACCTCTTGCTGACTCAAGTGATCGTTTGTTCGTTACGCACTGCTTAGCGTCTGTCAACAACAGCTTAGAAGTTACGACTTCGCCCTTCAATTGGTACCAAAACACAGAGCAAAGAACATGTGTTGTACTTGTCCTAGCCAACACGCGTGCATGTAACGTTACATGTACTAATCCTCAAATTAGTCTCCACCGGGCCTCAGAGTCCTACAGGGTACGAATTGTAGAATGCGGCAAAATGGAAAGAATAATTGGCCAGGAGAGTCAGTCCGCTGGAGGGTCAATTTCCCACTCCGAAGCGTGGGCAAATGGACTCTACTGTGTCTTAACTCCCCTGACCAATTATTGTCCGTATTTTGGCTAAATTTTACTGTTTTTAAACCCACGTTGTTAGTCTAGTGGGGACTAACCCAAAAGGCATCGGAGAGTCGCGGTTTTTCAATAGTGAACAGTCTCCCTACGGTAACTTGATCAATGCTGTCAATCAGGATTTATCTATCTACTCATCAGTGGAGCAGTGAAAGTGGAAAGCATGACGTAACACGTCGGAGTGCGGCCGGCTCAGACAGAACAAACACTCGTAAAGCCCCGACTTCAAACATGGCTAATCTCCAAACAGATCTTTTGGTGGCTGCAAGACAGTATCGACTTGGCCAGGCAGCACACATTTGCCAGGCATTTACCATTTTCCACCCCTTTGACTTGCGTAAAAAAAATACCAGTAGTACAAAAACGAAAGCCTAATAAAAAAAAAAACCTAAAAGACGTCAAAATATGCCGAAGCCTAAACCGAACTCGTTGAAATAGAATTTTAGAACAGTGGGTTCGATGCGTTCGATCGGGAACGTTCTATTGTTCACTTGTCTGAACTTTCACTTTATTTTCGTTCGCTGACATGGCTGATGTGCTCTGCGCTGATTTTTCTTATCTCTTAATTTTTTCGACTAGCTCGCTTGATTGCTTTCATCCGCCGGAACAAGGGCTCTTGTCCAGTTTAGAAACACTTCACTACCGATAAACAAAAACACTCTGCCCGCCTATCTGCAAGTGATATCAGTAACGTTACCCCGTCACTCTTATAACAAAGTCAAAGAAGGGAATACTTCAGATAGCATCTTGAAAAATTAAGCTATGTTGTTACGGAAAAGGGTGCCTGCTTAGATCACTGTTGGCATTTGGTTCTGGTTCTTGAAAATAATGCAAATGCAAATTTGAAATGCGAAAAAGTAGAAGATCTCACCTTTGTGAAGAGGTAGCGATGCCGCTCGTCCATCTGATAACAGAAAACAGAATCATTAGCTCTCTATGACGTTAGAATTTTATTTGGTGAAAACTAATTGGATAAGAAAGTTAATAAGAAGTCGCAATCTAGAACCACACAGGGAGAAAGAACACCATAACGAAGGAACGTCAGAGTTATAATGGAATGCCATTCCCTGTACCTATTTCCCTACAGTTCTTGAACCAAAAAGTCAATATCGTTTTGTCTTTAAAATTTCTTTCTCCCGCAATCGACTTTCCCGCCTGTATTATAAAAAACACTTCTTTTCAGAACGTTGTAGTCCGGTCCGTAGTTTCAGCACCACGATCCAAAACCGGGGTGCCTTCAGTTTGCTATCGCATGCTTCAGACCATTTTTTCCTGTTGTCGATCTTTCAACGCTGCTTGGCTCATTCTCTACCCCTCCCCTAGGCCCTCTCTTTCCTACCTCTGACTTCAGGCGCTTCGCCATGACCGGAGCCGGTTTTTCCCGAGCCTCGTGCCGCTCGCGTTTCCCTTCCCCCTCCATCCACACCCGCGAGTTCTTCCGCTCCAGACGGACTACTTTTGTGGACATTGTTCTACTTTCTCTTGTTACACTATTAAAGGTGACATATCTTAAACTAACGTTAAGCCAATCCCTGCTGACACCCGTACCAATCCCGTTCCTTCTCGCACCCTCTTAAGATATTGGACTGGGAAAACCTACTCCCAACGTGGATTATGCCATGTTTTAAGCATTGTTATCATAAAAAAGAAAAGCTACGACAAGTATTATCTTTAGTTTTAGTATTCTTTTTCGTTCTATTTTTTGCACGGATTACATAGTTTCCGGATGTCACCAAGGGATGATAGACCTTAGATGATAGTGTCATTTAAAACCTGTCTCCCCTATTGTCGCTGAATGGACTAGCCCAGGCTTTTGAAGAACCGCTCTCCTAAAACAAGAAGTACTTTCTCTTTAACGATCGGCTCACGAGTTCTCTTTCCCAACTTTACACAGCTGCCCGACTATTGTTCTGTAGTATGGCTACGTTACAGTCTCCATAATATCTTCACACCCCTGTATTTGTGAATGGACCATTCTGAAGTGAACTGACGAACATTTAATAGTATATGTGGTGTTTATTTTGGAGCTCTTTGAATGAAATACAGACTTTTTGACATCGTCATAGTATGAGCATAATCACCAGCTTTAAACCACATCTACAGTTAGATTTGCAAAGGTTGAGCGAAACAAGTTGTTCGGTGTAATATATCGAACTGCCGCCGTCAGCGAATCTGGTGTGTTGTGCCCAAGGCCAAGGGTGGCTATACATACAAATGGGTGGAGAAAGTCGGTGAAAAATCAATTTTTAGTGTTTTGCTGGTTTCTCCACACTACCACTTCAGACAGTGCCGAGAGAACGAGTTCCCACGAACAAAGCATTGCTACATGTGTAAGGAATGTGGTATCGACTGTTCTACGGTGGACAAGTATTTCTTCTGACGATAACATCGGAATAACAGGCAAACTAAAGCCTTGTTGTAGCAACAACGTTTCGGGTATATGTAACTTGAAGCTGTTCACATATAAGTTGTCTGAACAAGCTGACAGATTTTATACAAGCGTTAAACCACATAAAATCCTGTCCTAACCGACTTTTGGCTGGTACATGGTACAATACACGTGTCAGGACGGAAATGTCATCTTGAAATATCGCCACGCGAAAATGTAAAATGTTGATCTCCCCACAAAAATCACTGACAACTCCTAATCCTCGGATCATCTCTAAGATTAATTTGCCGTAAATACTAGTACATGATTACACGAGAACACTTAACGTTAACGACAGTTACTGCTAACGGCAGCCTACCTTACGGCGAGGCCGCTTCGACATCTTGTCTCCCCGTCGAACAGTTCGAAACGCCATGAAGTCTTGTGGTATCGTTGCATCAAGAACGTTACAGATACAGCAGCTATCATGTTCTATACATGTACAGCGTCTCTCATATAAAGCTACTGCATGATTAATGCTCCCAGAAGGCGCAGTTTTGTTCTGCTTGGCTGTACTGACGTGGTAACTATTGTTAACGTGTGTTTGTGACATTTCGAGCTGTCTCAGTGGGAATTGATGTGATAAAGGAGGGTGTTATTGTGAAAGCAATCGTAACCTTGTTTTGTGACAAACACTCTCGCCCACAAGAAGATACATGTAACGATAGGTACCCTGGAGACTTTGGACATGGTAACATGTCAGTGAACCAACGGGGTTTTGAAATAGTATTTTAATTGTGGCTTTTCAAATTCTTGACCAAATTGAGCGCTAGCGACCTTGTCGATAGTTAGAATTCCATTACAATATGACGCTCCTTCGGTAGTAGTGTAATGATTTAAAAGAAAAAGGACACAGCACACAGAAAAGATTTCTACATACACACACACACACACACACACAAACACACACACACAGACGGGCACGCACACGCACACATACAGACGGGCACGCACACACACACACACACACATACAGACGGACACGCACACACACACACACATACAGACGGGCACGCACACACACACACACACACACCAACACACACACACACACAGAGAGAGAGAGAGAGGGAGAGATCTGCAGTGCGCTATCTCACCTGTAGGCGGCGCTCCTCACGAGTGGCTTTAGCTTGTTTCTGCATCTCTTTCATGGCTTCTCCTGACAGAACCACGTTCTTGGCCTTGCCCTGAAGCAGAAAGAAATAGTCTGTCAATATTGTTCAACCAAAATCAAAACACAAAGCACCTTCCTCTATCACCAACATCTTTCCTCTTTCTAAACTAATTATTCAATACACCTGCTTTGGTACAAACGTCGTTCCAAAGCGTCACCGCAAACCCCAGTTAAAATTTTGTACCGAACTTACAGCTAGAAAATCCAACTTATTTGACATTTTAAATCGCCAGTGTTTCCTACCTTTCCGAAGTGGTATGGTTATTTTTATGTACTACACCGTATAAAACGCTACTGTACATTGTAGAAACTATCTACGTGCTTTGTAAGATCTATTTGTTATACATAATATAAAAATTCCCCCGTGTGAAACACCGTTGTGTGAAGAAGCGTGTATAACGTTACACCGATAGGGTACAGTATGGAGTAAACCGTTTCTTACCCGGGCCCAATGCCAATGTAACTATCAGGACGCAGTAAGGAAACGGGACAAAGTCATTGGAAAAATTATACCAAGGAGGTTAAATACACTTGTACTTAACATCCTTGATTATACGCAATCACTGAGACCACAAACGAACACAGTCAACATGTTTATATGGAAATACATTTTGTAGATCAAGATAGAAACAGGGCTTTGTGAGGCAAACAGACGAGATATAAAAGCTCTTATAAGATCGTAACATCAGAAAATTTAATTGTTGCACTGTAAGATATTTATTTTGAATTGGATCAACATAGATTTATCTTCACATCCAAGGTGCAGTACCCTGCATCACCGCCAAGTGGGGCTCGCGCAAGTTGCCTCAACCACCTGTTAAGTGGGAAGACAATCAAACCACTGAACACGCAAATAGCCCTCGGTTTCTTTCAACTCCAACGAAACGGATGTCTCTTATGATTGTTGCATTTTTTTCTGAAGACTGCGGGTATGTATGGTTAGACTAGAACATACATTAGAATTTAGATACATGTAGAAATAACTATGTTTCTGCCCATGATAGCAATGAGAACGCCATACTTACCGGCTGAGGCGGCGGCGGCTTGCTGGCCCCCATCCTCCGGGTGGGCTTACGGCCATCGCGCTCTTCTGGCTTATCTGGAAATTAGACAGTGGAAAGTTATTCGTGAGATTTGGTGTTTGGAAAAACGGGTTAGGAACATAAACGTTGACAAATACTGAATCAAATTTTCAACGCATTTCGACATAAAACGTATGAATGGAAATGTGTGCTTTAATCTCTTACGTGTTGAAGTGTGTGATGGTTATGAAAAGGTAGTAGCTGCACGGCATTTGCGTTACACCTTTGTAGTTTATGTGTACGCGTTACAAGCACTTTGATTTTGTGCCTGAATATGCAGTACCCTGCATCGACGCTGGGTGGGGCTCGCGCAAGCTGTCTCAACCACCTGTTAAGCGCAAATACGTGTCTTCAAACAACTAACCACCAAATTAGCCCTAGATTTCCTCCGATTTCAACGAAAAGTATGCCTCATACATCTAATATACTTATTTTGAACCTTAAATATTTTTCATACTTCGAACTTCTCAACCAGCCTGTAGCATCAGTGAATATGCCCCCCCCCTTCTTTTCGGCCCTCTCCTGACATGTGTGTACGCAAGCCGCTATGTTTAGCCCCATTTTCAAGCGGACTCACTCCAACATGCCAGCAGGCATTGACGCTCCACCAAGCGTATCCCTCCGCCGCGGCCTGCTTACAGAGAACAAGTAGTTCCCTGGTGTTTGTGTAGGTCGGTATGTACCGTGGGGAGCGGGACAAAGCTTGTACGGTGCCGTAAGCTTTTGTGGACAAAACATTTTCTTTCTTTCTTGTACAACTTCCAAATCAAAGGAAAATACAGAATCAACAGCAAAACTTCAACTGAAGCGCGCTAAGTTTTGGCAAAGGTACAGCTGCGTTGCGCCTTGTATTTTGTCTGATATAACGTTAACGTTAACGAAATATCGATGGTAAAAAATGGTTTCTTGTGTAATTTTGATTAAAATGTAGACTTGTCTGCTAGGGTGGAATGGTACATTGATGGATAAACTCTTCTATATACCCTTTCAAATGTCTGAAAACGTCTTCTGCATTGTTTGTATCAATTTACTCGACAAGACGCCATCAACAAACATATGCAATGGAAGTAGTAGCTAGTCGCCACTGAACCATGATATGAATGAGGCCACGACAGAGGTGTTACTGAATCCTCCCGGATAAAGTACTAGTAGAAGCTGCTCATCATCAGACCATGACATCTAATAAGACCGCGCCAGAGGTGTTTGTGAATCCCCCCTTATGTACCTGTCACGCTTTGCCGGTAACCAGGCGATGCCATGTACGATTTGCCCCCATGTCTAACCCCCCTCTCCGGGTCAGAAAACCACACTGTCCCCGCATCCAACCACAAGCTATAATGATTTTAAGGGCTTTCATACGCCGTACAATAGACATCCCTGACGGAATGGAGTCTATCATAATAACTGGATTACTGTACAAAGCCGTGAGATCTCAGGGACTGGAGGGGAGGGCGCTTTCCTTTCTCACAGCCACAACTTCCTTGGTTACGGCCTGGGAGGGATTTAAAGGCGCTTTGAGTTATGATTGCCTCCGTGACACATCACTTATGGTAAATTATGTGACAGTTTAACGTGTAACACGGCAATTAAGTCCACTCCACTGCTTTACATTGGCAAGCATTGTTTCGGACCCGATGTTCGTTTTAAAGGGATATTATGCAGCATTTTACATTTTTGCACCAGAATTGAAATATTTTGATTGAAGAAAATCTTCAAGTGATTGTCATTTATTTCCACATTTAAACGTATTTGTCTCACATTTCTGACATTTGTGATTAGTGTTAAAACATGTCCACACGACGTGCACTGGGTTTGTGACACCGCCACAAAATACCAGAATGTAAACAAACATAGCTGTCAGCTGTGTTTCCAGCTTTTAAACACACTCGTACGGCGTAATAATTTGGCACTCCAACTTTCTGAATGACACCTATTTGCAATGAAGTAGTGCTGATTTTCAACTTACTTTGTAAGAAAATTACCAGAAAAGTTAATTTTTGTATCGTTCTTATGTTACATAATGCAGCTTTAAAAGATGACAGAGTAGCTTATCGATAACGCCTACCTTCCTAATACCCAGTAGAAGATTGATTGAATAAAACGTCTGTAAGGTATTAAAAACGGATGATTTAGTTACGTTCTCTGCGCTGGTTTCAGATAAGAAAGCCAAACTACACACTTATTTGATGATCTGGTGTTTGCTTGTGTTTTGCCGAAAACGCAAACCGTTTGCAAACTAAGGCCTAAAAGTACATGTATTGGCGTGAGCGGAAAACTTGAATTGTTGCCGTTTAACCTTAAGCACACTGAACTAACCGTTAAGGTTTGGCTGCGAATTCTCTATAAGTTTTGGGGGAAAACAGCAGGGAGAAGGTTAACAAACCGAACTGAAGAAGCATCGACGAAGAAAGAGAAAATGATCCCAAATTCTGGTAAGTACAGTCGATTTAAGTAAACGGAAAATTTGAAAAGTGTTGATGTTTAAATCTTTAGTATACCCACTGAAATAGCCGTTTGACTGTCGATTATTACTGGGTAATAGGGAGAATAAGTGTCGAGCATTTGTAAACGAAAAAAGAGTCCCAAATTTTTCAAACACACACAAAAGACTTCCTAGCTGCAATGCTTCCTAGTTGTAGTTGCTTAATTCAACAACAGGAAGATCAAGTCGCGATTGCTGTACAAGATATCAGACTGGTCACATGAAATAACTCCACGCTTCACTGTTTGAACAAAGCAGCACTAGTACTCTGTCGTGGGAACATTTGAAACAAAACAGCCGCCAGCGCCGGTCTACTACCAACATAGGAAATAATCAGAACAGCAGCAAACTCAAATCAATATATCATTCCGGATGTAAGCAGCTTTTCTCTGTAATACCTTTTCAGACTAGAAGTCTAGGCGAGCCAGAACAACAAATTTGTCCTTACCTTTCTGAAGGATTAGGCAGCGAATGGTTTAGGGGACCGAATCCTTCAGAACGTATATTACAGGTGAAGGGTACGTGGAAGCTGAGGCATGGGGATCAGGGGTCACCATGGTTACACGTGAACATGAAAGGTGGCTTAATTGGATCGTAACAGGGTTTCCCAGCATGGGAAAGTATGGGACAATAAGGTAGAACTGTTGCACTGTGGACGCTGCTTACAGTGAACTTCGGATTCCACTCTCCTAACAAAATAGACACTTGAATCACTTGCGTGCGCTTTCTGTGTAGATACATTTTATTTCCAGTATCTTAGTGTCAATTATGTAATATAGAATTCTTTCAGGTCAACTTTTGGGGATGTGTATGTCTTCTTTACTCAAATAATTTTTTGTCTCTTGTGTACGTATTCTGTAAAAAATATTCATATTGAAACTTGATACAGAATTTTAAGAACCTGGGAATTCTGTGGACGACCGTGCGAAGATATTTGCCTAAATATCACAACATACTGTGAGTCCAGTTATGTTCATGAATGCTTTATTTCGCGAGATGGACTGTCAAATCTAAATATGATAAAAATCTTAGCAGGCATCGAAATTACTAGTACTGTCTTGAGTTTTGTTTAGCATTAGCTTTATCACCTCAGGTATTTGTTAGGACAGAACGAAACTCTATAATTACGGTAAATAGAGCGGAAGTAAACAAACAAATTGGCTGACAGAAGTTGTTACTTTGGAATTAGGTACACTGGTAATAATCACAACGTTTTGTCTCGGTTCTGTGGACTGTGACATTAGCTAACCATTTCCGTTTCGTTCGAACAGGTGAGACCAAGGAAGATGTTGGTTACCGACCCTTTTGGAAGACGCGCCGATCCTAGCCTTCTTGGATAGACCACTGACAAGGCCACGAAATTTTCCATCTGACGTTTGAATTCCACATCCTGAGACGTTCTTTCATACATTTTTGAAGCAATGATTTATTGATATATAAGTTATCCCTTCCTGGTGACAGCCCTGGCCCTTATGCAGTTCAGTTTGACATTGTTCGTGTTAATCTGTACTTATTGTGTCTTTTACATCAAAAATATAATCCTTACCCTATTTCTTTTCAGAATCTAGCACTGAAATCGGAGGCACGACATTTTTTCCTGGGCTTGTCAGAAAGTGGGCACGTCACATTGTTTGGCTCTAAGTTTATTTTCTTTTGTGTCCTTTTCCAATCAAGAGTGTTTGTTTGAGCGATAGTATAGTATAGTGTTTGGTTGCTAATGTAATCCAAATAGTTACGATACCAAATCAGACTCTCCAACGCTTACACCAAAGTTCTTTAATTATACTCGACGAAACAAACTACTATCGGTCCCAGACCAACATAGTCACATTTTACATCTCTCCCTAAAGGTCAGGGACAACGCCTGACTTTATGAAGCAAGTTTCAACTGTAATTTCCAACGCAAGGAATTGGACTTACCCAAATTTTCGACTGTACAACTCCAGTCTTTATCATTCCTTGGCTAAGACTGGAGTTGTACAGTCGAAAATCTGGCTAAGTCCAATTTCTTGTGTTGGAAATTACAGTTTAAACATGCTTCATGGTGACTTCTACCAACACAGAGAAACTTTCTAGATGACAGCTGACTCTGTCTGAACTAAACTTTGCCCGGACGACGGAGTGTTTGTTTGAGCAATAGTATTAGTATAATGTTTGGTTGCTAATGTAATCCAAATAGTTATTTCATATCCGACTATCTTTAACACTTAAGCACCCTAGTTCTTTACAACCTACAGTCGATCCAAGCCCAACATATAAACATTTTCCATCTACCCCAAAAGACCTAGTCTCTACCAGACTAACTACGCTGGCTATATATGGGAGAATAATTGCCAGGGGAGTTTGGCCTCCTTGTAGGTTTGACTGACCGCGCAGTTCGGAGAGAAAGAAACTACCTCCCCGCGGCCGGACTCCCTTGGCTAATTTTACTCTCTTTTTTGCCGATTTGTACGATCCGTATTCCCGTAGAAAGGCCTGGTGGAGGCTACAATAGACCAGACTTTGTCAGATTTAAACTTTGCCCGGACGACCGTGCCGCACAGGTGTTCCAGTAGCCGTGCAGCCGTGTGTGGGGATAATTGACACCGTTTCTGTCCACAAAGCAGACTGACAACCTGTCGCCACTTTATTATCTCAGATTCTTCCGTCTCCCCGCACCCAAGATGGCCGCGCCCTTTGCGACGCGGTTGCTAAGCGACGGTAGAACTAATGAGGTCATGTTGTAGAGCGCGCGTGCTGAGCAGACGACGTTTTGCAGTGTTTTTACACATTCGGCTCTCCAGTGTAGGCTTCAATTTGATAACGTGGATAAACATTTGGACAGAGAAGAAAAACTGTTGCCACTAATGCTAAAACTGCGGAAGGAAACCGACTGACGAAATTGCCCTGTAAACCGTGACACGTTTAACTGACCATAAATCTTAAAACCCTCTCAGATCTTAACAGGTCCTTTCATCTTACAGTCGTAACACTTAGACAAATACACATAAATGTTTTAGGCAAACATATGTATATTTTTATCAACACAAATGGAGTATCTAGCACTGTAAAATCTGTTTTCTACTAAAAACATGCCAAACTTTAGATTCTTAAAATTTGCTGTGCGCAGTCAATTTTATATTTTGTCGAATGTGTATGATGTAACAGAAGTTGGTCAATTTGTTATATCCTCAGGCCCTAGAAAATAGTCCAGATGTCAGTCTTTCTTTCTAGCTTGAATACGCCCTGTCGGTCACTTTTTTTGACAGAGACGCGGCAAAGAAAACGTTGTCATCATCATCGGTCGTCTGCAGCGAAGGCTATTGAGAGAAAGCTGTATCAAAACTAAAAACGCATCAAGGACAGGCTATCTAGAAGTTCACTGCATAGATACTCGTATTAACCGGGCAACACTAGTCAGAAGCACAGAGTCAGGTGCCGTGATTTTATAGGTCTTCGATATTACTCTTTAAAACCCCGTGCTTACACAACACGTAGGTACGGGGCAAGCTGGACAAGCACTAAAACGGACATACACGCCAATATGCCATAGAGTCAATCCCTTTGAACTGTTTGTTAATGTGACCTACATAGTCGTGCCGGTGACAGGACCGAACGTTTGTTGACATTCGGTGTCAACTGCAGTGTTAGAGGATTAGTGGCGGTTTGCCTGGCAATGACTCGGTTTTAGGAACGCCCTTCTTAAAATGTAGTCTCTACCAGACTAACTACGCTGGCTATTTATAGGAGAATATTTGCCAGGGAAGTTTGGCCGTCTTGGGGTTTGACTGTGTGGAGGGAAAGAAACTACCTCCCCGCGGCCGGACTCCCTTTGGCCGTTCTCTTTTTTGCCGAATTCTACGATCCGTATTCCCATAGAAAGGCCTAGCTGGTGGAGGCTACTTAAAATGTACTTTGACAAGAGACGGGGCAATGACGACGTTGGAGGCAAGGGTAGTTATGTACCAAGTGTAGGCAACGCTGAAGTAGTACATGCCAAAAACTGGGGGTTGGGGGGGGGGTCATGGTCTTTGGGAGCTTTTATGTGCTATTTTCTGATTGCATATAAAAAACATAGCCGGCCTGGTTGAATTACCCCCGTTTTAGAACTGGGCTAAACAGAAAACAGCCGAGACCACCAAACAGCCTGCTACAGAGGCTATATGTACAAACATGTATATGACAATGCTAACATCCAAATGTCAACGTTACACACGTTTTGTAGAAGTGCAGTCCTTCACCTTAGTAAAAACGTTGTAAAATATTAACCAAAACATCTGCTGTTCTGGTGGATAAACGATTGTTATTTTTAGCTTGACTACTTGATTCCTAAGTGGTTATAACATTAGTAGTCATGCACAGGGCTACGGAACAACATTCTACAATGACGTCGATTTTGAAGTAGAAAACTCAGTGAGAAGTATGAATCTTCATAAATGATTAAGCCAAATATTTCTGAAACTATCTACGTGTGCGCCCTAACAGGAATTAAGATATCATGGTCTAGAATCGACTCTGTGAAACTTAACTATAAACCCAACAACAATTTGGAAAAAAAACTCCGTCAAGAGTTCGGCATTCTTAGTTTGTAAGATTAGGATATTTCTAGCTTATCGTTACCCTTGGCCAAAGCTTTCATTCGCTTAAATCCGTTTAACGTTTCTTTATTAAGTAGTTAACCTTTCTGGCTATTTTATATTAATGTCAGAAGCGTGTTCCGGTCGTTTGAATAACAAGAAAATTAATGTAGTTTAGGCTATCCCCAGGGACCACTTTTATGCTAGTGATAAATTATCTTATTTTGACATTCAAATGAATCAGAATCAAAGGCAAAGTCTGTAAAAACACAAACCCGGTCTTGGTTCAGGAAGACTTAAATCCTCTTTTTATTTACTTGATGTTATTCTGAGTTTATAGACCGTGAATGAGTGTTATGTATACACACTGCGATTATCCTTTACAAAAAACAAAAACAGACGACACGCTCTGAAAACCTGTCAGTCTTACGTTCGACCGGAAGACGAATGTTTAATCTGGACTCATCCTTATCTGACCTTTTCTTGTAAGATATTATGAAGCTGTCAGGCAAAAACGGCCACAAATTATCAAACGAAAAATAACATTTGTCTACTCTCCAAGTAGAGGTTTGGGTTTTGGTTTGTTTTTTGCGTGTTTTTAGGCTTTTTTATCATGGTTGGAGTAAAAATAAAGATACCAGTGAAAAAAAAAAGAAATTAAAGCCCAATAAAAATGCCTAAAAACATGTACACTCAACAAATAAGCCCAAACCCAAACCTCTGCTTGGAGAGTAACATTTGTCGTCTACGTTGCGGTTATTTGTACGTAGAACGTAATGTAGAGTAAGAAAGTACGCATCCAAACTCGATGTCCCAAAATAGGTCGGGGTTACAAGAATCAACTCATCGAACGAACCCAGGAACGGGCCAATGGTCAGGAAAAACTCGCGTACAAAGAGTGACCAGTCCGACTGTTTGAAGTGTATTAAGGTGGACAAACTCCAGTCCGGAGGGGGTCTCACGTTCTTGCGTTTACCCGGCCGCGCTGGCAAACTTTGCGGGACGTGTGAGGGTGAATGGTGTAAGAACCATTAGCAGGTGTCCGGACAAATATCCGACATGGTCGTTACAGGTTCTACCTCTCATGTCATCTAAACTAACGCGCTTAAAGCGTGAAATGTATTTTGTAGATAAAACGATGTCGCAGGAAAGCTTGCCTTCTCTAATCTGTATTACTACTTTAGCAAGAAGGATATGTTTTGGGTATGTGTATGTGTGTGTATATCTATATGTGTGTGTGTATGAGTGTGTGTGTATATATGTGTGTATGTGTGTATGTATGTATGTTAAGTCTGCCTTGTCCCCCGACGACCAGTGTCGGTCATGGGACTAGGTAGGTAGGTATGTATGTGGTTTAGCACGATAACTCAATAAGCTATGGATGGATTGTCATGAAACTTGGTAGGTGGGTAGGTCTTGATGAGAGCCCTAAATGGTTAGATTTTGGATCTCCTATCAGCTATTGTGTTTTTTCTGTGCGTTTCTTACCTTTTAGCGGCGGTGCCACCTCCTGGTCTGGTTTCGGGGACGGGGGTTTGTTGGCTTCCTTCTCGGCTCCTTGCGGGCTGCCGCGCGAAGCGGGCGGGGCCGCGCCGTCCGACATGTCTGTGTGTTGTGATTTTTCTTTTTACCGAAGGATGTAAATCACCTGTATCATGACAGGTCCCTACAGAATAGTCTCAGAAAACACGCAATCCTTTCAAAGGCTCGTCGTCGCAATCCACAACCGTACACAGCTCACACACTGGCAATCCCGGGTTTTATATACACGATAGTTGAAATCCGAGAGCTCTGATCCTGGAAAATTTGACTCCAAGGACAAAGTTGTGTCTTGTCAGTTGACGGGACGATCTGGGGATGACGTCAGCAGGTTGTCATGGTAACGCGTCACGCCGTGTTCCTGAGAGGACAGACAGACAACAGAAGGTGAGAGGTCAGACCGGTTCAGACATGTCCGACATATTTACAATTTGTTCTGAATGATAATAGATACGCCCTATGGGGATAAAATGATCATTTATCAGTTATCAATTATGAAAGATAAGTATGTATTATGTGATTGATGTTGGCCACAAAACCAAATAGAAGAATAAAATTAATTGCTATCTAGCTAAAGGTATAATACTCGTCAGCTGAAATGTTGATTTCTTTTTGATTTTATTGTTTGTCCCCCAAAGACAATAATTCCTAAGTACATTTTGCCACTCCTGAGCACAGTCTACCTTGGTAGACCAACTCTTCTGGCATGTTGTCTGTCTATCTGACCAATTTCTACTCTTTCCGCCGCTTCTGAGGCCTGGTAGAGGCTAGTCTTGGGTGGCACTGTCAGACAAACGCCTCCAGGCACTGTCTTTTAACTATGATGTCAGGATTGTTTAGCCTAACGACGGCAGGTAAGTCGGGGGTAGACCGCCCCCAGGCAAAATCTCCCCAGGACACTACAGACGTGCGCACAGACACGTCCTCAGTGTCACAGGCTAGAACAACCTGAATGCTTAAATGGTATATATGCTCATGTCAGTTACTTATAGTGCAGCGTGCACCGGGTTCTATTAAGCTTTAGACATTGAGGAAGTTTACTAATTCACTTGTGATAGGTCCGAGTATGTTGTATCGAGAACTGTGCTTTATTCAGAGTCATACTCAAGCACGTACGGTTTTGGTTAGTCCACGCGTATCCAGAACCGTGCCTGGGGGCAAATCTACATGTATATTGTTGGATACGCAGAGACTATCCAGAACCGTGACTGCTCCTAAACCTAACCCATTCAGGCATAGAACTATTTAAAAAAAAAGGGAAAAAAAGTGAATAATTGCGTGTCTGCGATTATGACTGTGAAATTAATGATGCTACTCATGATGACCGTTGTGTAGATGAATATTGAATCCTGAAAGTTCCACTCATTGAAGATCAAAACGAACAAAAGGAAAGAGTACAAATGTATTACGTATTTCGACGTACGTGTATGTCACGTTGACACTACATTTGGTTCAAAATCCATTTCCTTTACATAAACTGCAATGTTGAAAACCCTGCTTTGATTATGACATTCTAATTATCCGACGAACCATGAGGGAGACATGTACATCACAAAAAAAGCCAATATTTCATTACCTAAAAGTAACCGCAGAGACTAATAGAATTAAATCGGTCACCAGATGAATCCAATTCTGTGGCTGAAAGAAGAGGCCAAGGTCTTTAGTTCAGACCCACCCGTGCAGAACCTGGTGCTAGTTCAGTAGTTGCGTAAGCTCAGGCGACCGGAGTCACATATACACCGGTACAATACGACTTTTGTGATGGGACTCGTATATATTACGTCGTCCGATACGCGATATAAGGGGGGAAGATATGCAATGGTGATCAATTCTAATTGTCATTAAGTCGTAACACTTTGGCAAGACGAGATATAACTTGGAAGAAGACATACCTAACCCTTAAGACAACACTTAAAAGACTTTAGAACTCTACATCAAAATGAAACCACCTGTTAATTGTTGCCAAGGCATTGTAACCGTGCTTAATTTCTTTTCTCTTTTGACAATGCTGTTAAGAGCTATTTAAAGATTCTTCACGAAATCCTATCTGCATACCCGGCATCATCTTTGTTTGAAGCAAAAACTCTTCTTGTGGATTGGCTTGGAACAAAGATGCGATTTCGCTAGCTTTAGACCATTTCCCTTCACATACTCTATGCCGTTGGTCAAGGAATAAGAAGTTATAAGCAGATAGTCAGGTCCAAAAACCGCGAACCCTTACAGGTGAACACAAGAAAGAGTAACATTATCCCGTGTGTAAACAAATACGAGCAGGGTCGTATCTGCTGACAAGGTCAGAGACCTCTAGTCTATAGTCTATCACGTTCACTACACGTGATCGGTTCTGTGGGGCCTTATGCAATAGACCGCTCCTACATAAGAAGAAATTCTCTGCTTAGCACTCAGCACATATGAGAAATAGTGTGGGAAGGTCAAACACACAACACTACCAGCGGACTAGCCCCCTGCTGTAGTGCCCTGCACAACTGTGTGTCGCTCAAGGGCTACGGAAATGGAGATGGGCACCAAACCCTATGCTCTGCATAGAGCACAGTGATATAAGAAGAAAACTTACAGTTATTACGGGTACAACGTATGGCAGCATATACTCGTACTTATATAGTTGGTATTGCTAACATGTATCTAACAGTACTAACAATTCTAAGAGGTGACAGTTCTAACCTTTCTAAGAAGCTAATCTATTTTTATAGATAACAATATAGCTCCACCTACTGTCCAATTAAGCAGAGGTTTAGGCTTCGGGTTATATTTGGGATGTTTTATGCGTTTTAGAGTGTACGTACTGTATGCATACCTTTTCTTCTTTAGAAGAAAATCCTCTGTAAGACAAACAAACAGACTGACTAACGTACAGACAGGGTCAGTTTTCACCTTTGCCCTACTTTCTTCATACAGAAAGTATAATGATGAGTCCGCCATTTTTTATCCTTGTATATACCGCCAATTAAATTTTAGAAACTACAAAAAGCCCCCCTCCCCTTCAGAGACGACCTTCGCCACACGCCCGACTTTTCTTTTCACTCCACAGTGACCTTTTTTGGTTCTTTTAGGATCTGTTTTGTGCCTCCTCAATTTATCGCCATGGAATAACCCTTAGAAATTCCACCTGTCAAGTGCCTTTTGTAACCGCCCCGGGTTTAATCAATCAAGTTACGCAGAACTTAAGACGGTCAGCTAAAGACACAAAAACGTCAAGAAAGTGTTGACACTTCTGCTTTCAAGTGTTTTCCCGAAGTAGGCTCTTTCCCGCACACTTTTTTTAAGTGTAGGAAAACAGTCTGTGGTGTTCACGTTTTAGCCCGCTGGTTTTCCTGTGATAATTCTTCTGTTTTGAAGTGCCAAAATTCTACTAGAAAAACTCTTGAACTAGTTATCCAGTCAAAGATGTGCTAGTTCATTGTTTGAGCGATATATTTAAATGTCAACACAGACCAGTCATAGCCGGTACCTGCCAACTATTTGCATACAGAGTGGTCGATTTAACATAAGTGACGTGTCATGATACACCTACTCAGTTTTAGAACACCTTCTACAAGGATACATACAAGGACAAAACTTACTTTCAGTGGAAATATCAGGATTCCAATTGCTATAATTTCATCATGTAAACAGATGAAACAATGTCATTGATAGATTTTGTTCCTACATGCCAAAATACAGTTTGTCCTCCACAGAAGCACCCACAACTATAGGAAAGTTGGGAAAACTACAATTTACTAGTACCATTGGGTATTGTAAAATACTAAATTTTGTACTAGTAGTAAAATGTCCAGTAGTAAGAACTAAGAACTACAAACCAGTAAATCTAGGTGTTTCCACTACGTGACATGTCAGCCCTCCCACGTACTTCTATCTGTGTACATAGCGGTAAAACCTACACAACTTTATCTATGAGTTATCCCCGGTTTGTGCTACCTGTCCTACACCCGACACACCTGTACGGCTACGCGCGACGTTACGCCAGGTGGGCCACAGGTATTAGTACTGGTACACTCCTTAAGGAACTAGGACTTTTATCAGTTCTTCTTTCGATACCTTACAGAAATTATCTAAAATGAAGATACAGTACTTTGATGAAGGTTAAAATTTCAGGTTATGAGTAGACAAGAAATGTGTTGGCCAAACAACTGGATAGATTTGGAAAATCTACCAAAATCTATCCAGTTGCTTCAGTGTAACTCTTTTCTTGTGTACAGTACTTTGTTCCACGTACGTGATTTGAGGAGGACATTTCTGTGATAAAAAAGAGTTATTCCCTTGCCCAACTGAACTGTCAGCATTTTATCCCGATTTGGAAAGGTCTGTCCAAAGATCAGGGTTAGCCACGGTACTGTTGAAAGTCTATTAGCAACCAAGACTAACATTTAGGCTTGTAGCTATGTTTGAAAAGCAGCCCGTCTACCTGTCACGCAGGTGTGCCATGTACATACAGGTCGGTACAACCGGCAGGCGTTTGACATAACTCTTAAAACTTCACCTGCAAATTTCTCGCCTTATAGAACACTACGACAGGTAGCATTTAGCACACCTATGTACACCTGTAACAAGAAGGTATCGTGGATAAAAAGCTGGGATTTCTGATGCGTAGTTCCGAAGAAAAATCTGACCCCTGACCTGATTGCTAAGCCGGCCGGTTGGCAGGAACGCCGTACCTGCGTTGCTACCGTCACACTAATCTCACCTGTCGGGTCTTAAAACACACCTGAAGCTATAAAAACACCGCGAGACGTACCTGTGTGGTTTGGCTGTTCTGTATTCTTACGTACAGCCGGCAGGCGCGCACAATTCCTAGCGTAAGGGGCCCACGTACGGCGGCTGTCACCCACACACACCGACCGGCGTCCCACAGAACGCACGACAAAAACCGGCCCGGCTGACTTAGATCGTCCCACTTTTCAGGGACCAACCGTTGTACTATTCTTACGGGGGTGTCGGGCCAACCTTTGTGTGTCGTGACGCAGCTAAATACCCGCTTGTGTACTGAACAAAATAAGCTTTCGTCTGGACTCCTCCAACAATAGCCTCCACCAGGCTTCAGAGGTGACTGGAAAGCGTAGAAGTTGGCCAAATAGACAAATGACATGCCCGGGAAGTTTGAACGCTGGAGTACAGTTTGCCACTCGTTTCTGAAGCCTGATAGAGGCTACTCCAACAACAGAAATCTCCTAAGTGCCTAATGTTGTCGAAGGCTTACTGCGAAGGAATGAAAGGAAACACACGACGTCTTTGTGCTTTGAAAACACTTATGTTGGAAATGACGTAGAGAAGAGTGTGTGTACTTCCGCAGGAACTTCCCTTTTAATAATACTTAACGTTAATACCCAAGCCCGTCTGACTCACAAATGTGTCCTTCTGGCAGATTTCTTTTTACAAAGTATCTCTATGTATAGATTTCTGGAATGTCATATGTCTTCTTTCCCAAATATTTCATATCGTCCACACACAATATTAATTGAAGAACTGTCAAAAGATACCGTAGTGAGGCTTGCATCAGAGGCGGCTGGAAAGAGTAGAAATTGGCCAAATAGCTAACATGCCAGGGGAGTTTTTCCGCTAAAGGAGTACAGTTTGCCGGCCCCTGACATGTTATCTGTCTATTTGGCAACATTCTACTCTTTCCATCCGCTTCAGAGGCCTGGTAGAGGCTAACCCTAGTCCCCCAAAAGGTAATGAACCGTCCCCTATCCCTGCCCTACTTGTTAAAGCCCGGCCCAGTGCCCGGGTTCTATTCACCTGACCCCCCGCAGTGCACCTGTCTGACACACGATACGGATACCTGACGCCGCTAGACCCGGGCCTCTGTCGGGAACGGTGATGTCGGGCTCAAGACTCTATGTTGAAGGATGAACGAGGCTTTTAGTAATAGAACTATGTCTGTGTATGTGTATGTGTATGATTCAGTGTGAAGAAAACATCATTGTACAACATAAGTTACACATGATGACAACAACAACAAAACATTCATACTACAATCATCGTCTTCAATAAACAAGTATCGCCGCTAAACCTGGGCCTCTTTCGGGAACGGTGACTTCGGTGTGCGTGTAAGATGTACTAGTCAGTAGCTCCATTCAACGTTTTGCCATACATAGTACCCGTTGAACCGATATGTAGAAGTTTGTCTCATACCAGCTGGTAATCTTATTATCTGCCATACATTGTACCTGTTACAATCGTTGTGCAATAAACTTTGACTTGACTTGATTTCGGTGTGTCGGAGACTCTACGTTCAAGGGTGCACGGTCGGGGCTTTAGTAGAACTATGTCTGTGTCTGATTCAGTGACAGTGTGAAGAAAACAGCATTACACAACATATTAAAGTTACCGTATGATAACAACAACAACAAAACATTCATGCTACAACCATCGCCTTCAATGAACAAGTGCCAAGCAGCTCTGGCAAAGATATTGTGGGGAGGGGGGTACAGTTGTACCGACTGTGCAACACAGAAGCAACAGGTAGTTTTGTCGCATGAATATTCATGAAGACAAAAACAAGGACATCTTCTGAATGGGATGTGTGCAGTCACAGGTCATCTCTCAGGGGGACCAGTGTAATCCCTGTATTATTACACCTCACAGAACAGACAGGAGTCACCTCGGGGGAGGATTAGGAACTGACTTAACACGGGTCATTTCACCGTCGATCTGGTAACAGGGTGGTAGAAAATTGACAAGCAAATTTTTTAATCTTCAAGTCAGTCGCACATTTTAAATGTTACTACTAGTAAGTAAATTGAAATGTTACTTAATAAACTAAGCACATTTAAAAAGTAACTGAGCATACACCCTGAAAGATCTTTTCCCGTAGTTGTAAAGTTACCCATATGATGACTGACACCGTTACGTTACGTTAGAGCGATAGTATATAACTTCGTTTGGTCATTTTAACAGTTATATAGTCACAATTTGGTTTGGCGTTTTATATGACAAGTATGCAAAATATAACGCAACAAGTTTTCCCATTCTTAGATATGTCGTAAGAGGTCGTTGCCAGACAAGAAAGTTAATGCTATGGTAACATTATCACGTTTTCACCTTTGCGCCTAACTCTGATCGGAAATACCACCTCCTCATCACTACATAAACATCCTCACACAGGTACTCTGTGGCAATGGATACCTCAAATAGATCAATACATTACTGTACAGGTAATAATACTTTCACGCCTAGAACAGGTTATCATACATGTTAACCTGTATTGATCCTCGTAACCACTGACGAAATTCTCTCGAAAAATCAATTCAGTAAACATGTCTCTTGTTATATTTTGTCTGACCCTTACCTCTTCCCTCATGACCTCAATAAAAAGCAGCCAGAAGGCCGATTTGGGTATTTCGTGAATGAACAAAACCTCGAACAAACAAACAAATCAAGAAAACTTCCGTGGAATGGTGAATTTGAATGAACGTTACCCTCCTTCACATTTTGGTACATTCTACCAAGGAGCTTATAGGTTAATAGACAAAGTTGTCGCATCCTTCATATATATGACACTTTCGTATATCCAACTACTGATCGACCAAAATGTTACAAAACAGTACAAAATATTTTGCTTAGCCTAATATACATATCAAGATATGCTAGTATGTATGTATATGCAGGTATTTTGGCCAATCAGGGTACACAATACACAAATAAGGTATGCTGCATTTAGACATCGAAACAAATATTTAAAGAAAATTTCATTAGGTCCTAAAAAAATAATTAAGAAACTTTCAAAGATCCACATTGACCATTTAGTAGGACACTACCAGTGCCACCATGACACATGCCTGACAACGCCGGTAACACGAGATTCAGCGAAAAGACACGCTACCATGGGAATGGTGTAAAACAAACTCCGACAAGGGACACAGGAAAAGTACCGTGACACAAACAAACCTGGCGAGAAGGCTGCTAGATCCAAGCGGCTTCATGAACGGGAGTTCTTCGTTGAGAAGAATATCGTGTTTTTTCTTCTCCGGCCCCAAACAAACGGACCGTCTAGGATGACACCTGGCACAGATACGTCACCTGGTCTGACTGTTAGGGCCGCTCCCAGGGTCATAGGTCACCGAGTCATAGCTCATAAGCGAAAGCCTGCCCAAATGCGGCGTTGTGATGCAAAATTGGTTGCCATTATTGACACCAACTTTCTTTGAAAGTTTAAAAGTATTTGGTGTCCACAATTGCAAATACGCGCACATACGCCAAACTTATACTTGGTAATAGTTGTAATAGCAGTATGCTTATCTAGACATTATAAACTTCTCAAAAGGATACAAGTTTCTTGTATGTGATAAAAATGACATAACTGTTACACCTGAGACAGGTATTGCGACTGTACAGGTATCTCAACACACCTGAGTCTCGCCAGGTGTGTTTTATCCCACGATCTTCGGTAATCCTCTTGCAGTAAAGAAATCGATTGTATAAACCAATGTAGGCTCCCAATGTAATACCACCCCAAAGTTGAACTTCTAAGCACAGAACTACAATGTCGTATATATTACAGGACACAATATGAACACAGGGAGCAAAATATCATCATTTCATCCTTACAGGACATCAAATACACCTTACCGTAGGGGGCCTTGGATTCCAACTCTTTTGGTAAGACTTCGCAGACGACAGTTTGTTAAGTTACCTGCACTCCGTCATGATGTAAGCCTGTGGCAACCTTGGTGGGCCTGACTGTGCTGCACTACAGACGTTTGTACTGTTGTGTCGATGCAGAGAGGCGTGTGAACCGGGGGTAAACCGTTACTTATCCTGTCAGGGTGTAGAGTTTAAAGCACAGGTGTTTCATACTAGCCATAAAATGGTTTAACTTCGCTATGGAACTGTGTGGCAGAGAGATGTACCATCTGGTTTAATTTAAGAACTAAACTTAGAACAAACAAATGATGAAAAAATCAGACTTTGGTATTACTGTCTTTATGATATTAAAGAGATTTAAACATAGAACTTGAATAAGAACCAAGACTGCTCAAAATGATCAAATAAGCTACCAAAATATGCAAAAAAATCAACCTACAATTATATATTTGTGATCGACGTCAAACGTATATTATAGTATTACAAGGCGGTTAACGTTGGAATATTATAAAGTTTGAACTCGATCACAAATATATAATTGTAGGTGGTTTCTTTTGCATTTTAGCAGCATATCTGATCGTTTAAAGTAGTTCCTTTTAGCCATCACATGTGTTCTTATGCGAATGGTAGAAAACACAGTCTTCACAGTTCACGCTTTTCAATTATCCAACAACATCGATTTCAACTTTAAGAGTTACCCCCTCTAAGTAATCAACGACCCGTCCCCCGTCCTTGCAGCCGCGGGAGAGCGGCACTATCACGGTTGCCATGGTGACATGTAAACTCCCCAATTGTCGTCTGCTGTTTAGTCGGCTGTTAATCGCACCATTAAACAACCAAATCGCACGGTTCTGACAGGGTAGACCCATTGAAGGGCACAGTCCAGACAGAAGTGTTTCAATAGAGTTTCCAATAGAAACAAATGATAGCCAATGGCCCCAAATGTCACCGGGCCTCTAGCCTCCATAGCAGGCTTATAGAACTGGGGGTTTGGTGGTCTTCGGCTGTTTTCTGATTAGCCCAGTTCTACGGGGGTAATTAAACCAGGCCGGCTATGTTGTCTATATGCAATAGAAAAATAGCACATAAAAGCTCCCAAAGACCATGAAGACCCCCCAACCCCCCAGTTTTTGGCATGCTATGGAGGCTATGTTTCAATAGAGTTTCCAATAGAAACTAATGATTGTCATTGGCCCCAAATGTCACCGGCCCTAGGAGAGCTCGCCATTAATAATGTAGTGATATATGTCTAGCTGACAGGACGTGCATACCGGTATGTGCTTTACCCGTGCTATCTCGCCTCAAGTGTTTACATTTCTCTATAGTTTATTGACATTTCCGAAGTGTGAGGTAAACTTGATTTTTATTCTCCAAACCATAATTTTAAGATAACGACTTTGAAATTACTGTATATCTAAGCGTTGATCTAGTATTGGTACATGTAATAGAAAGTATAATGTAATAAAATATACTAATTATAGTTCGCACTGGGATTAATTTTTACGAGACACAAATTACGTTATATCTGGCTCAAAGGTCGCATTTGAAGTAGGACACTCGGACAATGTTATCTTACTATTTACTCTGGCAAGTCGGCTTAATTTACAAAAGTAATGGCGGCAAATATATTTAATCAAACCATGTCAGATCAGACAATAGAGGCTTGATTGAACTTTAGTGGGGAGAGCCGCGAACTTGGTCGTTCATTGGATAACTTGGTATGGTCATTATCTTCACTTGACAGAACAACTTTTTTCGGTGTGAAGGGCGTACTTTTAAAAACACAACGGGCTCTTATACAACACAAAACGCCTCCCTCTACGCATGTATTGCATTATCAGTTCTGAGCCTCCTTCGTAGTCCTAAGTGTAGTTTTAGCTACTTGTCCCAAACTTTTCTTCGACTAATTTATCCTTTCTTTTGTCTTATCAAGGTCTCACATGATTCTAAACACCACATAGTAGTAGCCAGGCATTGAGGTATTGGTTATTGAATGAATGAATGAACGAACGAACGAACGAACGAATGAATGAATGAATGAATGAATGAATGAGCAGAGACCTTTAGTTTACTTTCATCTCTTACTTTGTCAGTGTCATCGACTCATTAAAAATGTACCTAGCACTTGGTCAACTCATCACATGAAATATCACGGCAAAGGAGCGACATCTTCCGACGCTTTCATGCAATGCACGTTATTTTTCGAACCACCTGTCCATTGTTGAGTTCCGGTGAACTTATAATGCGAGGAATAAATGACAACTGAAAAGTGACACGAACGGATTTAAAATGTGATTCGGGTTGTTATAACGTTAAATTTAACCTATTGTGGCAATCATTATGACTGAGAAGCAATAGAAACTAGAGTCCCACGATCTCATACCTTCGCCAAATGATGTTAATCTTTATGACAAAGTAAAGATTATTCCTCCTGATTATGCAAATAGGATCCTCATTTGCATGAATTATATGAGTTGATCATATTATCCATAAAAGACAGCCTTATATCTTAAAAAAGAAAGCCATTCTATCATTACCTCATAAATTATGCAAATGAGGTCCTTATTTGAATAAATTATGTTTAATGATGTTCACATTCACTTAACTTGCAAATACCCTAAGTATGAAATTCCAGGCAGTTACCATTATGGAATTATAACATTTTCTCATTAATTATGCAAATTAAGTGTTAATTTACATAATTAATATCTGCCTGTGTTTTTCTCGTTGTCAATTACATATGTCTCAAGCTTGAATAGTCCTATAATGTAATGCAGCTGATTTACCGAATTTCCTCATTAATTATGCAAATTACGTCCAGATTTGCATAATTGCCGCATAATTATATCAAGCATCACTTAAGCTACTTACATAACAAAAATCATGATGATCCGTCCACCGGTTCTTGAGTTATCCTCTTATGAATATTTTCAAAGAAATGGCCCTGCAGTTCCTCAGCAAGCCGATAGGGGGCCCAAACCTATGTCACTTATTCCCCAGCACGAGACCTACCTACCATCCAAATTTCGTGACCCTAGCACGTCCAGATCACGAGATATCAAAACCGGAAGTTCAGCTGCAGTACCATAAGAAGCCGCCAGGGGGCCCAAAATCTAATCATTTCGAGGTCTCATCAAGACCTACCCACCTACCAAATATGAAGTCAATCCATTTAAGCCTTTTTAAGTTATCGTGTTTACAGACAGACAGACAGACACACACACGAACGCCTACGAAAACATAACCTTCTTGGCGAAGGTAATAAATAAAGAGTGAATGGATGACAATGGATGGCCTTGCTGCCCCCCCTGCTCTAATCGTTAAATCTTTGCATCTAATATCACGAACATTTTTCTAAAATATGTATGAAAACTATTGCTTCTTATGTCGAAACTCGTAAATACCACTAACTTTACCACAAAGAAATTGGCCTTCGAGCCACATAGGCACCCCTACTATATCTTTAAAATTTTCGCAATGGTATGTTCCAAACAGACGTCACGTCATTGTCCAAGATGGCCGCCCGAAGGAAGATGTTGTTGTTTTGCGCTGTCTTCTCGTCGCTTTTCCTCGCCTCCCTCTCCGCCACCGTACCGCTCAAGATGCCGGTAAGTTCCTAGTAGTATATTCCGGCCGTGGCACGGTTCTTATGCCTTAGAATTAAACTGTCAAGCGTAGAAGGCGATTTTTCCACACTCGGACTGTCGATGGTCCATAGGGAGAGGAGAGAGCTCTCTCTCGCATCCTCCGTTTTCCTTTCTCCAAGCTCCTCTTCGTGTTTACGTTACGTAACGCTACGTCGTTGTCAGTCACGTCGTATGGTGTAGCGTTGTGTTTCCTTAATTTGTTATCGCAAATGTGATTATCTACAACAAAGCTCTTCAGAAGACGACTACCTGTGGAGTGTATACAAGGCGGAGGGCTTTGTTATGGTGAAAGGATAGCAAGAGACCGCTAATTTGGGCTATTCAAAAAACACAAAGATTTGATTACAGCACTAGTATTTCATGGCACACGTCATGCATAGAATACCTGGGAGTGAATATATCTTTACTAGTAAGCATCTAGAAGAGGCAGCCTTGAAACTAGATTAGAGACATTATGGAAAAATAGAGACATTATGATTTTAAAATTTTTAACAAGGACAACATATGTTGTATTGCGTGGTGCTGGTGTAATGGTCAGTGCGTTCGGCTGGAAACCAAGTGGTGCAGGACTTTCCTCACTTTACTCAGGTGTATTTTTAATGATTGTCTGGTATGGGATGTCCCTCGGATAGGACGTTAAATGGAGGTCTCGTGTTTGGGGAGAGCCACACCCCACGCACGTTTAACTTAAAGAGCCCACCACACCTTTTAAAAAAGAGTAGGGGCATGCCACGGTGTGCGATGGTCCAAGTCCTACAGTCTGGAAATACAAATCACCCAGACAGGGGCCTGGTGAACCCTCATTTTGTATTGGCCACAAAAACACGTCAGTCATTGCCGATTTCGCCCTTTCATTACTGGAAGAAAGAAAACCAGCAACAGCTTTTCTTGACGCAGGCTTTTGCGCTTTAACATCATTGGGTCTTCAATTCTCCAGCACCACATGTTTGATTGTTGCTTGAGAATAGATCATGAATAAGTCTTAATGTGCACACCAGTCTGCACAGTTTTCACAGTCTGCCTCTTCTTGTTGTTAACTTACAACAATCAAGTACTAACACTGGCCTTGGAAGGGGACCCTACAGGCACAATACCCATTGATTACTAGTAGTCCTTTTTTCTATCAGCATCTTTTTCTCATCCAACAATAAGTCTTAATGTGCACACCAGTCTGCACAGTTTTCCACAGTCTGCCTCTTCTTGTTGCACTGGATAACCTTACACAACAACCACTGGCCTTGGAAGGGGACCCTACAGGCACAATATCCTTTGATTAGTCCTTTTTTCTTTCAGCATTTTTTTCTCATCCAACGACAAAGGCCAGGGGCCCAGAGCTTTATGTGTGTGGTATGAAGTCTGACTGTTGTTGATTAAAGGCAGATAAAAATAAAAAAACCAATAACTTCAAAGATGTGGAGAGAAGTAGCATGATAAATTGGCAAAGACCTTTTAAATTACTTCTTTTATAGTTTTAAATAGTCTTCTATACCATATGATTCTTCAAAAGTTGCTAGCATTTTGGAATGAGAAAAATACATCTTTTTTATTCCAGCAATATTACTTAGTATAATATAGTATTCATTGTAATACAATCTTATGTACAAGATGGAAGATGCCTAGATGGTTTTTTACCACAACTTGCTACCACCAGAAAAATCAAAAGCACAATTCATGTATGTGAAGGCAGCTGCCTTTGGGTGTGAATATGATATCCCACATCAAACGTTAACATGGTTATAAATCCAGGAAAGGGATCAGAAGAAATCCTGAAATCCTCTCTCTTTGATGCTGCAGGTGCAGGATGTAGGTGTTTACCACGCCACATCCTCCATGATTTAAATTCCTTTCATGTTTTCTACGTCAATCATCTTAGACAGGGCTCCAAATACTGGGTGCATGTGTATCCTCCATAGCATGCCAAAAACTGGGGGTATTGGGGGTCTTCATGGTCTTTGGGAGCTTTTATGTGATATTTTCTGATTGCATATAGACAACATAGCCGGCTTGGTTGAATTATCCCCGTTTTTAGAATCAGAAAACAGCCGAAGACCACCAAACCCCAAGTTCTATAACTATAAGTCTGCTACGGAGGCTAGTGCATGTGCACCTTAGTGCACCCAAATTTGGAGCTGTGCACGCAATTTTTTTTTGCACCCAATATTTTCGTAGGTTTACGTATGTAAAAATGTCAACTGTATACTAAGGGGTAGTATATAGCATATTCTTAACATCTTAGTTAGTGTCAGAAAAAATATAAAATTATTAGAAATGAAACAAAATTAGTTTTTGCTAATATTCTACATATTTTATCTTAAATTTTGCACCCAAGAAATTTTTTGTGCACAGAATTTTTTAGATTGGGTGCACCAGTGCACAGTGCGCCTATTCCCAAAATTGAATTTCAAGCCCTGATCTCAGAGAACTCTCGAGAATCTGAAGTGCTTTTATTGCGTTTGATGTGGTATTACACGAAAAGAATAACATATTCATGGGCCTATCGTGGATAAAATGCAGACTGTGTCGTTACTTAATGAACAACATTCTTAGAGGTATCTTTGCTTTATTCAGAAGTGAGATTCCAAAAGCCCTAAAAATTTGATATGAAGAAAAACTACAGGGGGATGAATTTCTGTAATTTTTCTTTATATGAAATTTTTAAGCTGTAGCATTGCTTGGATGTTAACTGACATTCTACACATTTGCAGTGCGTAATTGCTAAACGGCAAAAATTACAAAACCTTAAAGATCGACTCTCTATCAATACAACACAGCGTGTATATGACAGCTAAAGGTTAGAAATGATAAGACTCCAGAATGTTCCATCCTTGTTGCTAGGAGAAGTCGAACACGAGAAGACGTCAGCCCCGCAGGCACGGAGTGGTTTATATAAGCATTTTTGATAGAGAAGATCCTCAGAGATAGTTAATAAGCAGGATCCTCCACCTGTGGATGGCTGTATTTGGTAATTACCGGTACAGACTGGATCTCCATGTTTGGTAATTACAGACAGGTTCTTTTCAGAACGGTCTTCTCAATTAAATTGTGAGCTGTGCGCGGTGTTCATTAACACTTTACATTTGCTCACTATGAAGTCTGCTATGGTTGCACACCTTTATACATATCTGGGTATCATGAAGAACTTAAGTTAAACGTTAAATATCACATGTACATTTAAGTACTTCTTCCGGACAAATAAATGCCAGCTAGATTTTGAATATCGCAAATAAGCACTTGCAAAAAAGCAAATGCCAGCTGCACAAGTGCCTGGAAGGTCTGTGCAGGATACTGTTGCAATCAAACCAAATCATTCCCTCAGGTTCTTCTTCCATATGCCACACATGTACAGCTTGTTTGCCTGCATGTTAACCAAACACAGAGAATGCTTGTCATTTTAGGCTTCACAATTCAAGTTGGTAGTAACCAAAGCACTACCACAACAAATTGGATGTAACATTTTTACATTGTTTTGGAAAACAGAGCATGTGGGTTTATCTTGTAGGTCATGGTCATGACAAGCTTAGACCAAGAGAATAGTCATTTTAGTCTTCACAATTACCCAACAGAAGTTCGTAATAGTAACCAAAGCACTACCACAACAAATTGGATGTAACAGTTTTACCTTGTTTTTGAAAACAGAGCAGAGGTTTATCTAGTAAGTCTTGACAAGCTCTGAGGTTTTCTTAAAGGAAATGCCAAGTTGAAAGTCTTCCAGATTCTGAAGAGCACTTGAGTGGCGAGAGTTGACTTAGAGAACACTCAGGAGAAGAAAAGTTCAGGGTTGAGTACAACCATCTGTGCCAAGCTTGGGTGACTCTGGTCCTTTCTTAGGCTGTGTCCATGGTAACAGACACACCTAATGCCAAGCTTTCCATGGGTTATCTCACATGAGACAGTGTGGAAATGGCACTTGTTCAGGTTAGCCTGCTACAGTCATACCGTAACTACAAATTTGGGGGTTTCACTTACGTAAACAAACAGACAAATTGGGTGTCTTAGACAGACAGAAAGAAATGTAGAAAATGGAAAAAGAGAGAAAGAAAGAAATTTGAAGTTCAAATATTTTGAACTTGAAGAGAAGAGTGGAACGGTGCCAAGCATTGACCTTGACCTTGTCTAGGACAGTTCAATTGGAGAAACCCTTTGAAGCAATCCTTTTCAACCAGTCAGAGATACATGTATGAGATGTTATATTACTATTAACCCCAGCCAGAAAAGTACAGCTTGTGAAGTTACATGCATGTACACATACATGTATTATATATATGATGAAGGACAAGGCCATTTAACACATTGTGGAATTCAGCCAAAAATTCAAAATACCAAATATAAAAGATACATGTACCAGGCAACAGTCCCGACAAGTCTTTGTTGTGAAATTTACTAATTTACCTTTACCTTTATCTATTTTCTAGGTGGAAAATGCCACCAGTCCGATGGCAGCTGTGAAGATGGAGAAGGCTTTGGAAGAAACCATTCTGGTGGAGGTGCAGGAGGAGGCCTTGGCAGAACAGATACCTGGGGAGTTGGAGGATAAAGTCATCAAGGTACAGTAGTAAGAAAAAAAACAGCTGAAGGTACATGTAATACTATGTAGAAGAGGTTTTTTTTAGTACTTTTTTCATGTACATTGTGAAGGTTGTACGTTGTACGTTTGTCACGTCAAAAGCACTTTTTTTACTTTTGTTGCTTGAGTAACTGTTTTCTTCTTCTGTATGTATCTCATTACCAGTCCTGGATATCTAATCTTCATCACCACGCTTTTGTTATGATTATAATCATGTAACTACAGTAGTTAAATGTCGACGACTAAGCTTGGTCGGTCATGTTGTACGTAGTGAAGAACCAGCCAGTAGGCTTCTACTCTGGAACCCTGACACAAAAAGAAGAGTTGGACGCCCAAACATAACACTTAAGAAACTTATAGAAACTGAAACAGGCTTACAGGGCTTGGAACCTATCTCTGCGATGAAGGACAGAAAGTTCTGGAGATCTAACTTTGTATGCTCCACCTCTTCGGAGGATGATTGATGATAATCATGTTACCATGCCAAGTGTATTTTCTTACTTGTGCAATTGAAAATGCTTTTAAAATGCAGTACTCAGGGTAACATGCTAGTAGTTGGAGAAACTGAAGTACACTTGGGGTAATGAGTTTGCACCAAGGCCCAGCTGTGATGTTCTTCAAATTTCATGTTTTCACTTTCATGAAAATTCTATAATGGCTAGTCGAATGCACTGCACGGTTTATTGAAGTGTAGCTTTTGCTTTTACTCAATTGAGATTAGTGATGCATACCTAAACCCAATTTTAGGTTCAGGTCCAGATTCAAGTCCAGAGGTTTAGGTTCAGTTCTGGACTTGTAATTATAAGTCCAGACCTAAACCCATGGCATATACAAAATTGCATGTTGGCAACCTTGCAATGTTGTCTGGGTGAAACTTTGGCGACATAATATGGAGGCCAGTACTTGATGATGCCCGATGGCAATGTTTTCTTTGTTTTGCAGCAAAGATTTTACAATCTACGGATGGTTTTAGGTGGTTTGGAAAGAAAAGGGGTATGTGAAATGGTCTTTTATGGTAATAAGTCCGGACTCGGTTCTTGACTTTTAGGTTTTTTTGGACTTGAACCTAAACATTCTTACAAGTCCGGATCCAAGTCCAATGAACCGGTATGCACCCCTAATTGAGATCCATCTACTGTTTTCCAGGTTGAGCTGAAGCTGGCTGTTCACAAGGGCCAGGTAAAGGTGAACGACCTGCCGGTCATCACCCCCGGTATCACCCATCTGACCTGCAGTGCTCAGATATGTAAGTCTACAGCATTATTACAAATTTTGATTGAAGTGATCCAACAAAATACAGTTAAACAAAATGGCAATGTAAAATTGATAAGCATAAATACCAGGGCTGTCTCCAATCCCTCTGTTTGCTAGTGGGGAAGGTACAAATTAACTATCTCACCTGTTACATATACTGTCTATGCTGATGATAGCGTTATTCCCTGCCAGTCCAACCGTCCTCAGGAGGAAAGCTGATTCCCCAGGGTACAGCGACTGTTGGTGTGAGACTACTGGTGCTGCAGAGGGGGGCCAAACAGCTGCACATAGAGGAGGAGGTCACCTCTGTCAACGGCACTACGGTAAGGGTTAGCTCATTACTCACTCACTCACTCACTACTCACACTCCAGGTTTTGAATATGTTGTATATTCACAGCATGATCACATGTACAACAGGCTGAATTGCACTGATTTGTACACTCATGTGGCAGAACATCATCTTACACACAAAACAAAAACTCAGGCAATGCTATACAAAATGCCAAACTATGGGCGCAAAGTAGCAAAAATGACCCAGAACAGTCTTACTGGATAGACTTGCTTTTACAGTAAGAAGTAACCGGGAGAGCAGCAAAAATAAAACCACTGTGAAAGTTTCTGCATTTGCAGTACTATTAGCCACATTCTTGCTTCTTGTCAGGATATATTTCTAAGGAAAAACTTTTCTCCATTGAATATCTGAATAGTCTACCTTGGGTATACAGGTAGTTGTACTGTACTAACCCTGCCCCCCTCCCACATCTAGGTCCTACAGGGAGTTGTCCAGCAGGTGTTGATTGTGTTGAGTGAGAAACAGAAGGAACTGAAGCGGATGGTGTTGTAGTACTGTAGTAACCCTGCCCCCCTCCCCACCTATAGGTCCTACAGGGAGTAGTCCAGCAGGTGCTGATTGTGTTGAGTGAGAAACAAAAGGAGCTGAAGCGGATGTAGTAGTACTGTAGTAACCCTGCCCCCCTCCCCACCTATAGGTCCTACAGGGAGTAGTCCAGCAGGTGTTGATTGTGTTGAGTGAGAAACAGAAGGAACTGAAGCGGATGGTGTTGTAGTACTGTAGTAACCCTGCCCCCCTCCCCACCTGTAGGTCCTACAGGGAGTTGTCCAGCAGGTGCTGATCGTGTTGAGTGAGAAACAGAAGGAGCTGAAGCGGATGTAGTAGTACTGTAGTAACCCTGCCCCCCTCCCACCTGTAGGTCCTACAGGGAGTTGTGCAGCAGGTGTTGATTGTGTTGAGTGAGAAACAGAAGGAACTGAAGCGGATGGTGTTGTAGTACTGTAGTAACCCTGCCCCCCTCCCCACCTGTAGGTCCTACAGGGAGTTGTCCAGCAGGTGTTGATCGTGTTGAGTGAGAAACAGAAGGAGCTGAAGCGTATGGTGTCCCACGTCCAGCTGGAGCACAGCAAGGTTCATCAGCTGTCTGCAGACAGCGAGGTCCATGTGGCCAAACAGGGTTAGTGTTCTCATCAGCTGGTTATCATTCGTTCATTCTCAAAAGTGAAAACTTCATGAACTTGTGTCATTTAGCCTCAGATGTCTTACTGGGGACAACTGCAGTATGCTAGATGTTGGTTAGCTTGAAGAATTAATCCACTCTACTTTATACTGTTCTGATTCATTTATTCAGACACTTTTTCACGTTTCTTTATTTTTCTCTTCATTCAATCATTGGAGTCTTTTTTCCTTATCTTCTTAGCACATAGCTACAAATAAATAGATGCACATTCTTGTGTATGCACCATACACTTGAAACATAGAACTTAGAACATTCCTTGTCTAGTAGAACAAGAATGCAGAGACTTCAGTTGTTTTTTCCCTTCTGTATAGTTGTGAAGACGTCGACCATGGGCCATGCGGAGATGACCAGTAACCAGCAGGAGGCTGTGGACATCGCCCCAGAGATCAGTACTGAAGAGGTCGCTGCTCCCGGCAAGCTTCCAGAGACCCCCCTACGAGCTGACCCCCCTGCAAAACCCATCACCTTCCATGTAAAATGGTTCTTTAGTTTGCACTGAATACTATAAGTCTTAAAGATATAATCAAAAGCATTAATGATGAATATATAGCTCAATACTTCAACTTCTTGTTGAAGGCTAGACAATTTTGATTGCACAACTCAAAAGAAAAATTCCACATGAAGATAATCAAACAGATCCCTTTGTCTGTTTTAAGTGGTGAGGCCATGTTGATTTGATTACTGACAGTATATGGATGACATCCTCTGGGAACCCCAAAACTGATGCGAGCATGCGAATAAAAAAAAAGTTTTGCAAAAAAAAAAGTTGTTTTCATTATGAAATCTACGTGGTCATGAAGGTTGAACAAATGACACAGGGTATGGTATGGCGAATAATCTACTCTTCAAATTCATTTCTTTACATTTTCGTCTTTTTCGTTTGGTTTTGACATTCTACGACATTGTTATTGTTTTCCAATATTTTTTGTGCAACTTACAGTATATATTTGCTCATTTTGCAACTGTTTTGTACGATTTACAGCATGGTTGAAAACTTTTTTTTTTGGAAACGGCCGAAAATTGATGCGCGCGCGGATGTCATCCATATAAGCAAATCAACATGGCCTGACTAGAAATTCTGAATACTTCAGAGATTTTGATTTCCTACACTGCCAGAAAGTTAACTCCAAAAAACAAAGGGCTTCGTGGCAGAAGCATGGCAGCTGTAGACAGTTGTTGTTACCAGAGACTTCTGTTGGCAGGGTGGCCTCTCCAGGCCGGTGTCAGTGATTCCCACTTCTTTTAGGCAAAGGGCAGATCTTCCCATACCCTTTTTAGTGGTGACTAGATTCTGACGAAATTTTGATGGCCAGCACCATCAGTAATCGTATCACAATAACAGCTCCCCCTATCTGTTCCCAGTCGCTGTGCAGCCGTATGGAGGAGCTGAAGAACCAGATGTGCGTGACGTTCCGCCGGATGTGCGACGAGTTCAACCTCCAGTCGTTCTACGTGCGGCTGCTCACCCTCTGTATGATCGGAGCCATGACGGTCCTCATGTGTCTGGCCTGTGTCAAGGCCTTCTGTCCGGCGGAGGAACTCACAAGGTAAGGGGCCGGCAGGGTTGTGTTCTGTATTGCAGAAATTGAATTCTCAGGGGAGATAACCCTGTACTTTTTGTTGTGTCAATAAAGAATCTACATGTATATAATAATGCCTTTTCTAAACAGTTTTTAGGCCACTCTTGATTCACTCCTGATGCCATCATGCTTATAGCTTCCAGAAAGCTGTATTTTATGGCATTTTTTATTACTGTGACGCAATGATTGTACTTTCCATTTTATTATATTATTTAGTAAGTACACTGTATGTTTTGTTGTATATGTGGAGGGAGTATTGAAAATTGCCAACCTGGCCCTGGGTAAATAAATAAAAATGAAATGAAAGACAGCACAGTGGATTCTGATGAAGGTCGACAAGTTCGACTGAAAATTCATGATCATGGTGTGTTTCTCTTTTTTGTGTTGGAACAAAGTTTGAACTTTTCAATTATATTACATTTTGTTGTTCTGTGTCCCTGTGCAGAGAGGACAAGATAAAACTGGGACTGCTGTGTGAGGGGTGTGAGCTCAAACAGGCGGAAGAAACCAACAAGGCTCTCAAGTATTACGGGTGGGCATAGAAGGCTAAGATTGTAACAGGGCATGGCGAAAGCAAGCTAGTTAATGCTTAGGTCACAATTGGAAAAAAGGGGCATCACCGGGTAGTTTATGGGATGTTTTTCTGCACTTAGAAAATGCAGAGTCATTCCCATACCACAAAAGAATTCCTCGGTTTAGTTAGCATATAGTAGAAAAAGGATTCCAAGTGTAAAAAGTGGAGTAAAAGTCCTTTCTTTGTGCTAAGTTATTATATTGTGCAAGAAACAGTCTCGTAATCATATTGTTTATTGATGGTTTATTGATATATATGAATTTGTATGTTGTAATTTGGAATGTTGGGAAAAATTTATCATGTAGAACAAAACTGGACTGGATTTGAGTGAGATATGGAAAGACTTGTTTAGAAAGAAGGTATGAAATTTGTTAGGTTTGGTAACTAAAGGATTATCAACCAGAGCACTTTCTAAAAATTGTAGGCATAAGAATGTGTACAAACGTTTGGGTCTAGGTAATTTAAGATCATTCAGAAGTCATACACAGTTACATGTAATGTAATTGAAAGTAGCCAGATCATAGCTGAATGCCACACCGTTTCAAACCACACAGTAGTTGTTTAGAAACATGGCAGCTTGTAATAGATTAATGCCACCATCACAGATAAGTACTAATAAGTAACCCAAGGATTATGAATTCAATACAGGGTGCAGGCTACCCACAGTCTTCCTTCTTAAGGGACTCAAACAAATTTGTCATAGGCCATCTTTAAGACTCTAGTATCTTAGGAAGTTTTGCTTCTATGGTTAACTGTAAAACATGCATTCAGTTCACATTGAATGACTCAAAATATATGCATTACGGAAGGGAAGTTGCAAGAAATCTTAAACACTGAACTTAAGTCTAGTTCACAAATTAAGAAGGCAGGACAATGACAGATAACATAATTCACACACTGTATATGTCATTTCAAAAAGGTCAAATTAAACATTCTGTATAAAAGGACATTTTATTGTTAAAAAAAAAATCAGAAATCATACTCCTTCATGTTATGAACACCAGACATGCAAATAGTATCTAAACTGGGACCAGGAAAAGTTATAGAGAATTTGTACAATTCACAGAGTAAGTAAGTTGCATGTATGCAGGAGAAAATACATGCATTTATGTAGACATGTGGAAATCGCTTATAGGAGAGAACAAGCTAAATATAAAGATATTTACTCGAGCTTATAGCAGGCAACTAACAAGAAAATGTTGTTTTAGGCCACACCAATTTAATTTCTTGGTTAACGGATTTTTCTAGAAAAATAATGGAGCGGGCCCAAAATGGTACGATAGGAGCAATGAAGTCAACACACCAGGCTGGTTCAAAATTTAAACAATGAATTTTAAACTTTTAATGATACCATTGCATTGAAAGATGGAATATCTGTAACAACTAGGAAGAAAAGGACTTTCCTCAACTGTTGGGGGGCAAAACATGAGCATTTTTCAGTTGATTCAGGAAAAGAATCAATTTTTTTTTTTGCAAATCAGAAAAAAACGAAGAGGCGAATCCGAGAACCAACAAATTAAATTGGTGTGGCCTAACAAGAAAATGTTGTTTTATAAGATGATATAGGGACTTGGATAGGGTAAAGAAGGATTATGTTGTTAACTGTTGTGTATGAAAATCTGTGTAATAGTTATTTTATTTTGTCTAATACTTGTTGTAAGGAGATACATGTATGAAAAATGTGTATAGTGTATATTGTTGCTTTATGTATTTACTCTTAACCAGCATATTATGTTGATAAAAACTGTCATGCTAGGTAACCCTCAGAATATTGTAGGCAGATTGAAACTAAACTGTGTACCAAAGCAGAGAAAATTAACTTAAATATTAATTCATTTTGTAAAATCAACCCAAATCTGTGTACCATGCAAGTTTCCAGAGATAAAAGAATATTATGATATACTGGCTTAATTGATGATCAGTTTTGTGGTTGCTTAAAATTTCAGATTTTAAATCGAAATTCAGCAGTGGTACAGATGCAGTGAAGACTACTTCACTTCAGATTTTGTGTTCGGAAGGATTCGTAAAGTTGTTAATGGATTGTTCCAGGTTGAAAAGATGCAAGAAACGCAAGTCAGAAACATACTGTATCACTGCCTATATACTGTAGTTTGGTACAACTTACAGATATTCTATCACTTTTTGTAAAGTGAGTACAACTCCTAGTCCATTTCTTTCTCGGCAAGAAAAAATTATGTGGCTTCTATTGACCATAATTGTGATGATGGAATTACCACAGCATTACTTGACAACTTAAGCAGAATGCATTGATCTATCCTGACTATCTGATATGTTGTACGCAAAAGTGTACAATAATCACACAGAACCATGTCCAATGCAACATTGATGAAAATTTCCTGACTGTAGCATAAAAACTCCACCAGTCATTGATGTTCTAAATGTTGTGGGAGACAGATAAATGGCAATATTAAATGTGAAAAAAGAAGTTATGTACTGTATTATGTCATCATTGAGCGTATGTACACACAAGGACTTCAATAAGATTAACTTTATTCAAACACTGAAAAGGAATGTTGTGATATTAAACAAAACTCTTGCAGTAAAGAAGTAACCTTCCTATTAACATACTACAGACCTCCATTAGTTATGCTACGACTACAAGCAGAAAACAAGAAGTTATTAAAATAAGGGTGACAAAAAACTGCTTGTGTACATTCTACATGAATCTGATCCATGTTCAAGAGACAAGAATCCACAAAACACTATATGCACTTGAGACAGTATTGTCCAATAGATATACATGTAGGCCAAAAAAGATGATGGCATTGTACAGTATTACATCTTTTCACCTGAGATGTCTCTACAATGTATGTAAAATGACATGGAAAATGACAAATGTAGCTGTGATAATAGACTCTATGCAGGTCCACTTTTCCATCAAAATGTAGTCTTCACCAGCACAATACTTTAGACTTAGGTTTCCTCTTCTAATGAAACAATATTTCTACATATAAATCAAAACAAATGATGTGAAAAAAGTATAATTCATCATCTTTGTAGTATTACTCTTAGACTAGTGTAAACCTAGTCTTTAACATAATAACTCTTAGAACCTAGGCAATGGCATTAAAAGAACAGCTAACTTAGCTCTGTAAATAAGTTTTACCTCTGTTGCACACACATTTTGGGCAACCAACGTCATGTGCGTATCTTACCATCATCTTGCGTGTAGTTTCCACATGGAATAATCTGCATTTGAAATTGCACTTTGATGACTGCACTTTCACAGGCAACATTTCAGTTACAGAATCATCAAACAGTTTCTCTCCTCACAGGTATGGACAAGGTACTATGGCAGGTTTTCTGAGGCGAGGCACAATTTAAGTTTCGCTGACTGCCATTTCAATCTCTTTTCTTTGAAATACAAATAACAGGTTCGATTGGTATTAATATTCTCTGCCTTTTTTTAGGATTCATGGTACCATCACAAAAAAGTGCAAACTTCCAAAGCTACACTAAGTTCGTTTCAGTCTCTTTTCTTTGAAATACAAAAAACAGATTCGACTGATATAAATATCTTTGCCTTGTTGAGATTCATAGCACCATCACATGACAGCACAAACTTCCAACGCCGCATACAAAAAACAGTGCAGTTATGAAAGAGAAGAGTGTCTTGGCAAAGAAGATACAGATTGGACCTGGCACCATGGTGTCATGTGCTGCAGCTCCCCCTGTCTATAGATCCAGGCACTGCCTCAGCAACTTGGCCATGTCACTGGGGATTTCTGCATTCTCATCTGAGGGGTAGTAAAAAATAAGTTATCATATGGAAATAACCATCTATCTTGAACAAAAACCTACGGTGACTCAAGAACTAGAACAAAGCAAATACACCATGTTTACCTTCACACGGTCTAGCCTAACAAATATTCTTACTGAAACATTCATATAATTTAATTATACATGTGTGTGGTGACCAGCCCCTTTAACTCTGTGGGGCCTCTTGCAACATAATGTAACCCAACACCGCAGGGTGTCTGCTATAGCATCGGCTATCATGGTGATGCCTGAGTGATCCAGGACCATATGTGTTTGGAGAAGAAGAAGAAACGTTGCAAAAACAATATGTTTTCCTACTGCAAAGGTAAACATTGATGCAGAGTATGGCAATAAGGTGAGCTTCTTGCAAAACTGTACGGTCCAAGTGCCTATACACTGTTTATCTCCCCCACCTTCATTGCTGGTCATGTCCTGTTCCAGCTGTAGTTTGTGTTCAGCACACTGTAGGATGGCCTCCTCCACTGTCCCTGCACTCACCAGCCGCATCACTCGAACCTCTCTGGGACAGGGCAAATGGAAGCTCTACTGTAAATACTGCAGACATTGGGAAGCCTAGTAATATAAATCTGTACTTTCCAGAAGTCAGAAACTCTATATTACACCAAACAACTGGTCACACCTAACCTTTGCAAAACTAATTACACCTAACATTTGCACATCTAACTCTGAATGTTGCTTAAAACTATCTAGTCATGATACCCCTACTGTACTTTTTGGCCTGTTTTGTCATGTTTTGAAGAACACTGTAGGTAGACAAATCGTTTTGTAAACTTGCAAAATAACATTATGGTACATGCACTGAAGCTGCAGTTCCGAAAATTGCTCATTGAATCATATGCTAGAAGTATATATTTGTAACACCCAACATAGTGGCACCTGCTTTTGCAAACTTCCAGAGTGGCATCGTACATACAATTCCAGAATGTGTAATTCCAGTTGCAATTCCTACATCTGTAAATCAAATCACAAAAAAACAATAGTGTCCCTACTTTGTCTGGCCGACGCGGTGACACCTGTCCTCGGCCTGTTTGTCGTTGTACGGGTTGAAGTCGATGTCGTGCAGAATGACGGTGTTAGCGGAGGTGAGGTTGATGCCCAGCCCCCCCGCACGCGTCGACAGCAGGAAGATGAAGATGTCAGGGTCGTTGTTGTACTGGTCAATCAACTGCAGTCTGGAAGAGAAATATTTTTATACCATTAGCAATAATGAGAAATTGACAGCTGTCAGTGGGGATGGACATCTTTTAATGATATTACTTCTCAACCAATATTTCATACATTCTGTTGTTTATGAGTGTGTTTTAGTATCCCTTCTACTTTTGTCAAGCACAATGGTTTTCCAAGTACTAGTTACTAGTGCAATGGGGCTTCACTATGGCTTGTGCATTTAGCCAAGGACACTGGGTCATCCCTATTCATACTATCGTCCTTAGTTTAAATGAAGAGGTTGACAGTGAAAAGCAGGTGCTGCATATGTAAGAAAAAAAACTGGGCTACTCATGAATCTCATTGACTACATGTCATTAATTTGTAAAAAAAGATTTAGACTTACAAGGTAAAGAATCTGATGATTCTAAGGTAAGAAAAGCTCTTTTGCAAATGATGTGGTCTGTACCTTTCAGTGACCGCCGTCTGCCCGTCCAGCCTCACATACTTGTACTTGCGGCGCTTCAGGTACAGTTCCACTATGTCATAATTGTAATTTTTTGTTGTATACCTGCACTAGTGCATACCAACAAATGTGGGTGCTAGAAGTATGTAAAACACTACCTTTCAGTGACGGCCGTCTGTCCATCCAGCCTGACGTACTTGTACTTGCGGCGCTTCAGGTAGGGTTCCACGATGTCCAGCATCATGGTCAGCTGGCTGAACAGCAGGACGCGGTCACCTCGTTCTGCCATGTCCGGCAGGAGGCGGTCCAGCAGCCGGAACTTCCCCGAGTCCAGCAGCAGGTCAGGAGACAGGGTGTACTCACTCAGGCTCTAAAGAGAGAAGAGGTTCAAATAGGCAGAGGCACAAATTTCATAATTACATACATGTTCAGGACATTAGTACTGTTTTTAATTTTGGTGGCACTGGTTTCTGAGTTTGTATGTATCTTGTCCTTTGCAGCATGCAAGGATCGGAAGTGAGTGGGCAGGTTTTAGTTGAGTTAGAGATTTGGTTTTAGTCGATTGACAGGGTTGTGGCCTGATATGCCCTGGGTGGTAGAATGTGGTGTGAGGTTGCCAGGAAAATGCGCTGTGTAACATGAACCAGGTGGCATACCAGATTATGTCATGCAATCATATGAGTAGTAATCCATTCCATGATATAATTCATACGGTATTTCTATTGTAAGACAAGTAAAGAATTAAGGATGAGATGTGTAGTAAAGAGTGTTGTTTTCTCACCGAGTACATTTTGCACAGGTTGTTCAACTCGAAGTCGGACATGACTTCCATGTCTTCAAATATCAGGTCTGCATTGGCATCATGGTGTGTAGGCTCCTGTATCAAACATAGGGACACACAGGAACAGATAAATATGGTGAAAAAACTACCAACAATGTCCTTACTACTCACTGCTATCCATAGTACTGTCCTTGGTACTGACTGTACTATCCATAACACTTAACCACACTGTCCTTGGTACTGACTGTACTATCCCTAACAGTAACCACTGCCCTTGTACTTTCCGCAGACCCAAATACCAACCTTAAGCATGTGTTTAGACATGTCCCTGAGTTTGTCCAGTGTGTAGTATGTCCTGTGGAGGAGAGGGTGGTTCGCCATCTTCCTCAGCTGCATCATAGCACCACTCAGGGTCGACGACCCGTCTTCAGTCTTTAGGGAGCGAGACAACCTTGCCTGGAACATGAGAAAAAAAATGTCAGTCTTCAGCTACAAATTCTGTGTTATATATCATGTTAACCTTTTCCCTGCTACCTAACCCCAAATACAAATTTGGTGCCAAATGGCGGCCTTAGCATGCTGAAGATCAATATTCAATGTAGGGTTTCAGTTGAAAAACAAGGTTGATATTTTCTATTGATAATCTGTGGAGTTAGACATGAATGTATTTAGGAGGGAAATGAAGGTTTTCACTGTGTTTGAAGTTTGGGGTTGAAAGGATTCTGTAGCACAGTAGAACTATAAAACACATGTTTGCGGTGTTATGATTTCATGGAAAAGGAACCTGCAAAAATAAAACCACTACAAAAGTTTATGCATTTACAGTAAAGTGTTAAACCAAGCCACCCTAATTTCTTCCTTTCTTCAAGATATAAAAGAAGTAACACCTTCAGATCGTTGTAGAGCTCCACTTGTGTGTCTGTCATGGGGCAGCGCTCCACCTGCTCATGTTTTTTGGGCAGCTGTGTCAGGACGTCTCTCTTCAGCCTCCGTAGGACGAACGGCTGCATGATGCGCTTAGCGTGCTCGATTCTCTCCCGCTGGAACTTACTCTCCGACTTTCCCTTCTGTGAACAAACAGACAAGATTGTATCTGTAAAGCTGGTATAACTGCATCTGGGTGTAATACCCCAGCTTTGCAGGCTATACATGTATAATTATACTGAACAACCTGGTGCACCTAACCTTTGCACCTCTTACTTTAAGCAATGTCACTTATTGTTAGTCTCTTACTGTACTTGGCACCAGCGAGTTCAATTCCACAATACAATATGGTAGTTCCAGAGAAAAACAATTTTTTGTACACCTCAATTGGTATTTATTTCTTGTGCAGAAATAGATACTTAAGTATGTTAGTACATCTACCAGTGTCTGTATTTCTAGCTCTTCTTCCACATACAGCAATTAAGTTCTTCCACTTGACAAGGCATCTTCATACCAAGAAATGACAAGTAAGCATGGAGTCTTAAACTGAATTCTGGAGGACCTAGAACCGTGGCATGACTTACAGAGACAGCAGCGAACATCCTGCGCAGCTCTGTGGTGCGAGCGCTGAACATGTGGGGCATGATGAAGTTGAGCAGGGACATCAGCTCCAGCAGGTTATTCTGAATGGGAGTACCAGTCAGCAGGAGTCTTCTCTCACTCTGGGGACACAAACAGGAACAGCCTTGTAAGCAGGGACTAAGGGGTTAAGGGTTCTAATCCCAGCAGGGACATCAGTTCTAACAGGTTATTCTGGATGGGAGTACCGGTCAGCAGGAGCCTTCTCTCACTCTGGGGACACAAACAGGAACAGCCTTGTAAGCAGGGACTAAGGGGTTAAGGGTTCTAATCCCAGCAGTGACATCAGCTCTAACAGGTTATTCTGGATGGGAGTACCGGTCAGCAGGAGCCTTCTCTCACTCTGGGGACACAAGTAGGAACAGCCTGGTAAGCAGGGACTACAGGGTTAAGGGTTCTAATCCCAGCCCATTGATGTTCACTAAATTTTATGCTCCCAGAAGAATTACTAATTAACAGAGACATCAGCTCTAACAGGTTATTCTGAATGGGAGTACCAGTCAGCAGGAGTCTTCTCTCACTCTGGGGACACAAATAGGAACAGCCTTGTGAACATGGACTAGAGGGTTAAGGGTTCTAATCCCAGGAGGGACATCAGCTCTAACAGGTTATTCTGGATAGGAGTACCGGTCAGCAGCAGTCTTCTCTAACTTTGAGGACACAAATAGGAATCGTCTTGTAAGCAGGACTACAGATTAATATTTCCAATTCCTGCCCATTGTTGCTGACTAAATTTTTATGCTACCAGAAGAATTACTGATTAACAGAAACATCAGTTCTAGTGGGATATATTCTGGATGGGAGTACCAGTCAGCAGGAGCCTTCTCTCACTCTGGGCAAATAGGAACAGTCTTGTAAGCAGGGACTAAGGGGTTAAGGGTTCTAATCCCAGCCTTTTCAGAAGACGTGTATGCTAATAGAAAGAATTGTACTGTTAATATCCACTGTTTTTCACTTGCCAAAAAGACTTAGGAGAAATGAAATGCTATTCTGCATTCAAGATGTAACTGCTTATTTGTGATACAGGTGGCGAGGTGGTCTTGTGGTTAGGTTTGTTGAATGAACTTGAATCTGAAGGTTCTGGGTTCAAATCCCTAGCTGGCCCCAATTTTGTGCCCTTTGGACTCAGGTGAAAATGAGTATCTAGCTTGATTAAGTATGTCTTCCAAGATGGGACATAAAGCCAGAGGTTCTGGATTTACTACACAAAACCGTGTGTTACACCTAAAGGCAGTTTACTGGTTATGTGAAACAAACAAGATTATACAGATCTACTTCCAGGTGAACTCACCCTTATCCTGAGTAGCTGTTGGTATCGTTGAGTCTGCATGTTCTTCAGCATGTGTCCCTCGTCCAGGATGGCATAGTTAAACTGCACCTTCTTAAACAACGTCCTGTCAGTGGCAGAACCCACACAGCACTGGTACCTGGGGAGGAGGTGAAGATCAGGTTAAGTATTTATCTATCTATTTATTTGTTTGGTTGTTCAGTACACACAGCCAGGACAACCCAACTAGCCTGTGGCTATTGCAAAGGGCTTGCCCTGCTGACAAAGACAAGACATTTACAATGAAGTTTGACATGGATAGCATAACAAGTTCTAACACTATTTTAGGTAAAAGAAAGCATTGTAGACGAACAAAAGGTCAAGTACAGTGAGGTATACTACATAGGAAAGCACCTGGTACTAGTACAGCAAGTCAGAGTTACATACTATAGATGTTTAACTAGCAATGGAGTATATCCACTGTTTCTTCCACTTAACTTTCAGCATTTCACACAAAATTTAGACAATTTTAGTGTTAACATCACCACAGAATGTTAACATTGACTAACAGATGTATCATCATGTTAAGGCCACACTCACGTAGTAACGAGTACATGGAAGTCCTCCACTCCCTCCAGTATGTCATCTCTCATGGCCTGTCTGTCCAGCTGGTTACCGTAGTAGATCAGCACCTGGGAGAGTAACACATTATGTTATGGTCGACCTTTCACCTTCTCCGCAATTAATTTCAATTGCAACCTCTTTTGTATTAACGTTCTTACATCTCTCCTGTACTATTCAGAAAGTCCTGACCACTTCTATATGAATTCAACATGATGGAAAAGTCCAGATTTTCATCTCAGAAATATCACAGACCCAGGCCTAATGTTTGGCCTCTTGCTGCCTTTTCTACTGTTTTTATGGCTACATTTCAAAGGTTCAGTCTGTCTCCTGATTCATGACTTCAGTCTAAGAACAATCTTATACAACCCCAACCATGAAAACTATATCATACTGGAACAGACCTCTCCTTTTCATACTTCATTTCCAAATTATACTCCAAACTCCACGAGCCATAAAATTAAAACCTTTAATGAACACCCAGTAACCATAGAAGTCAGTTGAATACCAAAACAACTATCCTACCTTGAGATCGGAGCACCAGAGAGCGAGTTCCCGTACCCAGTTGTCTAGCGTAGAGGACGGCACCACGATGAGATGTGGTCCCTCGTCTCCCTGCTCTAACAGGTATGCCAGGAAGGAGATGGCCTGGGCAGTCTTCCCAAGACCCTGGGGGAGGAAAGGGGGTAGAAATTGTTTAATAATTTAATTCCAAACTTTTGCCTGATGGTAAACATATTGTTTTTGCTCCATTTCTTCTTCTTCTTCTTCCATTCCATGTAAATAAGTTTCAAGATCTAGATCAGACAGCTGTCATCATGGTAACTAGTGCCATAGCGATACCCTGTGGTGTTGGGTTGGATTACGTAGCAAGTGGCAGGACAGGGGCTGGTCACCATATATAATGAATGAGTTAGAACAAACAGAGCAGTAGTTTTTGAGGCAAGACCGTGTGACGGTAAACATGATGTACACATGTACTTTCTTACATTTATTTATTGAGGATGCAGCAAAAAACGATGTTTATGACAACTGATTCACCATTTCATCAGCCAGAATGCCGTTGATGCCCTGTGAGTGGAGAAGAGCCAGCCAGTTCAGTCCCACCAGCTGGTACGGCTTCAGCTGCAGCGATTGGCTCATGTTCCCCGGCTGTTCCGTTAGCTGGATGTCCCCCTCGTCGTCCTCATGCTCCAGACTCCGACCCATCTGGGAGGTCACGATCCGCTGATGGGCCTACAGACAAACAGGGAGGATTTTTTTTCCTTACTTTGATTTTCTCCTCAAAACAAGGCTCATACGAACCACTTACATGTTTTAGGTTACATTAACGAACTGTGGAGACAGATGTTTGTTCACCCTAGACTTGAAAAGGTTAAGGTTGTACCCATTTGGGAAGCATTCACAAGGAAACTTGGTGTATCATATTTTCTAAACCAGGGAGCAGGGGTGCTGCACCCTCTTGCTTTTGCTGTGCACTTTCTTACCCAAATGCTGGTGATAATTTTTCAAAGAAATTCCCAGTCTATGTTACAAGGACTCAGGATTTTTGAAAGGACTACAGTACGGGTTCCAAAATAAAGGAATCTGTAAGCACTGTAAGGCACATGCAGTCAAACCTGTACCAGTAACTACCTCTACATATGGACCACCTGGCCATGTGATCACTTTTCGGTGGCCCTTTAGATAATATTTCCCATTGACACAAGCATTAAGAATCCTATACGAAATTTTAGTGATTTTTGGGGCAGTTTTGACTGTAAATTCTGGCCTCACCTTGGAGATCTTGTGACACTGCTATCTATCAAGGATGCCTATTCTGCCTCTTACCTTGGAGATCTTGTGACACTGGTCCATGAGCCGTTTGATGACCTGTCTCTCCTTCAGCAGGACCTGTCCGCTCCACAGGATAGTCAAGTTTAACCCTGCAGTCTCACTGAACTTCCCAACCTGAGGGGCAAAATGTAAAGAAAGGACAGTGATCTTGATCCAGTTTTGCTCATTGAAGATCTAGTTGTGACATAGCCTGGGTGCCAGCCCCTATTGCAAGTGACTGATAATCTCCTTTGGAGGCAACGGGTCTGGCTCTAATTATCTTCTCGCTACCATGGCATGATAGATAAAGGGCTTGGGCAGATACTTTTGGTAGTGGACAAAAAATCTATCGCTTATGGCACCCAGGCAAGTTGTGACAGAGAAGACAGACGTTATGTATAGTATGGACAGATGAACAATCCAATGATCACTGAGTCAACTGTGTCATCTGCATAAGCGGTGGATTGCTTGACAAAGACTGGAGTTGTACAGTCGGAAATTTGGGTAAGTACAATTTCCTGTGTTGGAAATTACAGTTTAAACTTGCTTCACAATATAACATAGTTCTCAGAGGAATGAAATGTTTAAAAAGGAAACTCACGATGTCTTTCCAGTTCCGGAAGGGTCGTGCGGCCATGATGACCTCCGCTTTCTTCTTGGAGCAGCCGGGAACGGTCGTCAGCTCCTCCAGCGTCGCATCACTGAACAGGGACAGCAGCGCCACCTGCCAGGGTACAGCAGAAGTGCAGTATTTAGTGTCATTGTGATGAAATAACTTTTGAACTCTGGTACAAACATCTTGGAGAACTTTCAGATTCCAATAGTGAAGTGTTCATTCTTATTTATTAGGATTAACCAAATCTGTGGATGGACTGACATAATAGGTGACTATGACCTTATTAATATGTCAACCTGGAAACCAGACTGTGAGGTTTGAACCACTCACACTGGGAACCACTATACTTTTAGATAAGTGTGATGGGATCTTAACATACTTAGGCTGTGGCTCTCTTCAAACACTCGACTTCCAGGCTGATTTGCAATGATGTCCCTAACAGAAGCTAGGTAATTTTCATAGTCATTTTCATCGAGAGAGGTGTAAAGTACAATGGATTATGCTTGGGATTCAAGCCCAGAGATGGAACCTTTACATCAACAAGACCACATTGCCACCACCATGTACCTGTTTCTCTGAGGGCATGTCCTCCCCCTCCTCATCCTCCTCCCCGTAACTGTCATCCAGGTCATCATCTGAACCATACGCATCTCCATCATCATCATCATCATCATCCGAGTCTGCGTACCTCTTCTTTTTACTGGGAGAAAGAAATAAAAAACAACTCAGAACTGCCCTGAGGAAGGTGACAGGCGGTCACGGAAACGTCGGCTGAATAAAACACTAACTCGGTTGTGTAAAAAATAGTCTCTATACTCAAAATCCACAGGACAGAGGC